TGCCTCATCACCGGCGCCTACGGAGGCATCGGCGCCGCAATTGCCTCCCGCTTCGCCGCCGAGGGCGCCCTGGTGACCCTCCTCGGCCGCAAGGAAGACAAGCTACGCGACCTCTGCGCTCAGCTCCCGCCCTTCCGGGATCACCGCCTCGCCCCTCTTACCTCCTCTGCCTCTGCCTCCGCCTCATCGTCGCCCTCAGAGGCTAAACCAGCCCATTCTTACGCCGTCATGGACGTCTCCGCTGACGCTCGTGATGAGGCTGTCCTCGATGATATCTGGGTTTGTCTTTTCTCCCACCCATCTTCCACACCTCCACCTAACATCAATAACACATCAAAAATACTACATTGAGAGAAATGAGGCTACCTAGCTATCGCACCATGAACAAGTAGACACATTGACTAACAGGGACTTCCCCGTTCCCCTTCTTCAAGAAACGTACGGGCCAGATAGACGTCCTTGTCAACGCCGCGGGTATTGCGCAATTCCAGCTGTTGCAAAACACCTCCCCACAGGCCGCAAGAGAGCTCATCGACACAAACCTCATGGGCACAATCTTCATGTCTAGGTACATGGCCCAACGCATGAAGCGCAGACGCGCAGACAGGGATGGTAAGTCATGGCACATCGCTACAACCATGCATATTCACTTTTCCCACACAACCCGTTGTTGCCACACACGCGATCGATCCGATCGCAACAACCACCTGCACCGCACAGATGCGCCAGCCTCATGCCAACAGTGTGCTGCAAACACACACATCACATACACGCACGCACTGCATCGACAGCCCCGCTAACCACGCGATCCACTCTCTCAAGCCTGCATTATCAACGTTGCTAGCTTGCTGGCCGAAAAAGGCAGCCCTGGCACCAGTGTCTACGCTGCATCAAAGGCCGGTATCATTGGTAGGTTCTTCTCTTTTTGGTCTCTGCTTCGTCTCTCATACATCGCGGGGTCGCCGTGGCTGTATCCTTTCTAGCCCATCCCCCCCGATTTAGTGAAGCAAGTCTAACACCTCCGTTCCGCTCTTCTGAAGGCCTCACCCACGCCCTGTCCGTCGAGCTAGGGCCATTGCGCATCAGGACCAACGCCATCGTTCCTGGCTACATAGAAACAAACATGCTTGCCGGTAAGAGACCCTCCGTTCATCTCCCACTTGCAGGGCCGACCTCAGAGGACCCCATACACCAAATATCCTTGGTTAGGTAGGCCAACAGCTAATATACAAATTATCACAGCAATGTCGAGGGAACCTCTTGAGAAGAGGATACCGCTGGGTCGCTTGGGGCGGCCTGACGAGGTCGCCGACGCTGCCGTCTTTCTTGCTCAAAACGCCTACGCCAATAACTGCATCCTGAACTTAGATGGCGGGCTCAGTGCTGTCTGAGCTGGCGTGCAGCTCCCATTTTTACGTGGAAGGGACACCCTTAGCTTGGAAGAAAGTGGACCCAAGCACAATCAGTCGTCGTCAATGACAATGGCTCCGCCGGTAGAGTCGTCCACAATGACCACGTCGTCGCTGCCGCTCGTGGTAGCGACAACCTTGGCCTTTTTGGCTTCGATCAGCTCGTCTCCGTCGTCCGGCCGGGGCCGCTTGAGGTTAGATGTCCCCTCCGATGCCTCACCAGCGGGCTTGCCATTTGGCTCACTCGTGCCGTTGGATTCGGCGGATGCCTCCTTCTTGGGCTTGCGAGGGATCTCGGGCTTCTTGTCCGCGACCAAGCCCTGGATGGGCTTATCAGTCAGGGGCTCCTTGCTATGTGGTTGTTAGTTTGTGGTTTAATACGAGCTCTCGAGCAGATAACGTACGATTCCTGGATGCTGATGACGACGTTGACAAAGGGTTCGTCATCGTCTTCATCAATAATTGTGAGGAAAGAGTCCTCCTTGATCCCAAGCTCGCTGAGCTTCTTGGAGAGGTTCTCCGTCTCATCCGGGTCGTAGAGCGGCCCGACGTCATTATTCAGGGCGAACTCCTTGTCACCGTAGCCAAGCTCCAGGCGCACAAAGTCTTCGACAAGGTCCTTGAGCGTCGCTCGGGACATGTCGACAGTGACGCTCGTCTGATATACGCTGCATACCGGGCAATCTGGGTTGGGGGCGCGGAACTTGCTCGAGTTAAGCAGACGGGCAGGGTTGTGAGGAGAGATGAACACCTAGACAAAAACATTAGACTACCGATTCCTCGCCAGGACCCAAAAACTTTGGACCTTACCTCCTTGGTCTGAGTGAAATCGCCTCTCAGCACCTTGAACGATTGCAAGACACACAGGCCGGCGACAATGGCATTGGTTGTCGCAATAGCAGGGATGATGTTGCCAGCCATCTGCTTGATATCGAAGCGCGACTTTCTCTCAATGCCGAAGATGGATGATCGAATATTTGCGCTCGAGGTCACAAAGTCCAACGTGTCCTCGTCGTCCTTGTCGAAGGTGATCAGGGGCTCAGGTCCAGATGCGTCCTCCTTGTGCGCCTTTTTCAGCTCCTGCATCCGTTTGCTCAGACGGTCCAGGCTGTCGACGAAGACTGCAAAGTTCTCCTCCAACGTCCATACTTGTTGTCCTCCCTGCAAGATAGTCTCCTTCGAGGCGAGGGCTGCGGCTGACTGCTCTGCCAAAGTCTTGTAGTCGAGAGCCTCAGGTTTCCGTCTGGACTTCCACATATCCTCCATGGACGCGAGTCGCACAATGTCGGTGTTGAAGACCTTATCAAAGAGCAGCTGCGGGAAGGCATCAGTGCCTAATGATTCGCGAATCGTTCTCAAGGCCGCAGCCTCCTTCTTCAACTCTTCAATTTCCTTGGCATTGTCGGCATCGGCCGAGTTGTCGAATGCGGACTCGTCTTCGCTCGCGCCAAAGATCTCGTTGAGAAGATAGCTCTTGCCCCACACGATGCAGTGGATGGGCTGGCTAGGGGTGCTTCGAATGGTGCAGACCGGGTAAGACTTGGGCGTCTCCTTGGGCGTGCAGTCGTAACATGCGGTAACACCCTTCTTGATGACCTGGACGTTGCCGTTGAATCCCGTCGTGCCGCTCTCGATGAGAGGTACGTCCGCAGCCAAGCACATCCTGTTGACGTGCCGTCTGGCCTCTAGGTTATCCAGCGCATTGAAGACAATGTGGAAGTCGCGGAACCACTTGACGTTAAATTGGGCGTCCTTGATGTTGGAATGATGCGCGACGATCTTGACCTTGGGATTGAAGGGCTGCGCAGCATCCTTGGCCACCTTTTTGTAAGTCAGTATTGCAATACTCTCCACACCTATATCACTGCTTCTGGTACCATACCAATGCCTTGGACTTCTTGATGTGCTCGTGTCGGAAGAGAAATTGTCGGTTGAGGTTGCTCAAATCGATGGTGTCGAGGTCGACGACGTGAATTTCACCGAAACCTGTAAGCACGATGTTCTTGAGTAGTTCGCATCCGATACCGCCAGCTCCAACCATGAGAACGCGCGCCTGCGTGTTGTAAGTTAGCTCCATTGACTCTTCAATTGCATTGTAACCCATCATCGGGAGGAAACTGGCTGCTTTTGGAATAGGTAAGGGGGACGACGTTGGATGAAAGCCGCGATGCTAGGTAGGTCGCGTGGTCTGATGCGCCGGGGCTCTCTGACGAGGGTTGCGACGTACCTTCTTCACATTGGCGTTCAATGAGCCGCCGAGCGATTGCTGGAAGAATCGATCACGCGTCTGCACGGCGGGAGGTCGCTGCTGCTGCTGCTGCGGCGGCGGCGGCGGCTTTTGTTGCTGTTGCTGCTGCGTCGTTTGCGCGGGTGGTTGAGCGACGGGGATGGCTTCTGTTTGTGCTGGTTGCTGCTGCTGTTGCTGTGGTGCTGATGCTGGTGTAGGCGCCGTCGCGGCGGTGGGCACTGTCGCCTCTGCCGCGGTTGCTGCAGGTGCAGCTCCTGCTTCCGCGGTGGAATCCATTGGGGCTTTCGTTCGATCGCAGTGTTGTTGAGATGTCTGTTCTGCGTGCGTCGACGTGTCAATGGGTTGGAAAGGGAAAAGATGGGTGCGATCGCGTGGTTTTGGGAAGAAGAAGTTGAGTGTGGAAATAAGCCGCGCCAGGTGGGATGGAACGACGGCGGCGGGTGGTTTCAGCACGGGAGCGAGGCTGCGAAGAGGAAGGTTCCAAGGTTGAGGTTTTCCCTGAGGTCAGCGGAAGGAGCGATCGCCTAGCACAAGGTTCCAGCCAATACCGGCAGCCGGTGACGAGATTCCAGCAGGGATTGGAGCTGTTGGTTCCTGGGGAACTTCAGCGCTCGAGTCCTGATTGGCAGATAAAGGCGGGTTTCTCTCGCTTGCCAGTGGAAGCTTGCTGGAGCACGCTGTAACCTCAGCGGTCTAATGCACCCTACAGTCACCGTGAAACACTCGACGCCTGCTCATAGTCAGGTACCTTACCTAAAGTACCTCACCTTTCCATTGCCTCTGGAACCTTGGAAAGTAGGTAAGGTACCTTAACTGCTTACACCGTACCTATGTAGGTACCTCACCAAACACAGGCCGACCTCGCTTGCCCAGCGAAGGTTCGTTGGGCCTCCACCGGTTCCTCGAGTCCTCTCTACACTACTGCGTATCCGTGGTAGGGCCGCTTCTCATCCCCTTTCACGTGGAAAGCAGCCGGTTGGAAGCTCACCTCAGAAACGGGGTTCACAGCTATCCTTGAAGTGACGAGATCGTAGGTCACTCACTCGGAGGGGTCCTCTGGGATTATCGCCGCTTGTGATCCCGCCTTTTGATCCAACAAAAAACAACCGGGTCGGTGCGATATGGGTCTCTTCTTTACCGCCTAGTTCAAAGCCTTAGTCCTGCGATTCTTGCCCTCATCGTCGCCCAAGCTCTGTGAAAGATCCTACTGCATTGCCGCCGGCTAGAAGCATCTGAAAGGTGCAGCCAAGCCCAGTTCTAGGGTCGTATTCCTGCGGCTCTCTCCAAGCAGATAATACCGCCTGCAAGCATCTCACCGCGGGGCACTACACACTAACCGAATCATGTCCGACGACGAGCCCGACCTCGAACTCCTGGCCCTCCTCCGCCAGCGGTTCCAGGGGAAGCTCAACATCGACGATGAGCCCGAGACGGGCGTCCTCGACGGCGCCGAGTTCGTCTACGACAACTCCATCGACGTCGCCATCGACATGAGGGCCACAAAGAGGGCCGCCGCCACCATCTACGCCCAGATGGAACAGAAGAAGTACTCAACCTCCACCTGGGCAGAGCACGAGCTGCACCCAAAGACTAAAGACGAGAGCACCGCCGCCTTCATCTTCACCATGGACCTGCTCAACTTCTGCTTCTGGTCAGAGAAGCCCGAGGACGAGAGGTACGCCGTCGAGTACCGCGGCAAGACCTGGACGGGCTACTGGAGCATGGTCGCCTCGCTGCAGCGCGCCCTCGAGGAAGGCATCCCCATCACCAGCTCCGATTTTTGGCAGAGCAAGGACGAATGCAACTTGGAGGTTCTCAGACACGTCTTCCGCTCCAAGACGGAGGAGGAGATGCCCCTTCTTGAGGAGCGCTTGGCGTGCTTGCGGGAAGCCGGCACTGTCTTGTATGAGAGGTACAGTTGCAGCGTGACGAAACTGGTCGAGGCCGCCAACGGGTCGGCCGCACGGCTTGTGAACTTGCTCGCCCGCGATTTTGACTGTTTCCGCGATGAGCACAAGTTCGACGGCCGTCGGAAGCCGGTGAGAATCCTCAAGAGAGCGCAGATCCTCGTGGCCGACATCTGGGCATGCTTTGGCGGTGAGGGCATTGGTGCCTTTAAGGATATCGACAAGATCACCATGTTCGCCGACTACCGGGTCCCGCAGATTCTCAGCACCATGGGTTGTTTGTATTATAGCCCTTCGCTGGCGACGGCTATCACTGATAAGCGGGTTATTGAGAGCGGGTCGAGGTTGGAGTTGCAATTGAGAGGTGAGCCTTTGCAACTACTATGTCACTTCTCCAAGCGTCTTGCTAACTATGAGAACAGCGTGCAGTATTTGGTGCGTTGAGCTCATCAAACGGGAGATCCAGAGGGACCACCCTGGGACGAGCGTCAATGCCATTTTGATCGATTTCTTTCTGTATGATACCATGAAGGAGCTGGAGGCCGCTGGCACGGAGACGATAGGACATCACAGAACGCGGAGTATTTGGTACTGAGGTAGAGAGCAGCTTGATCAAGATATGGCCAAGATGGGGAGACGAGAGACCTTCAGCACCTCTGATAAGGGGTATAATTCATGTTCGCTGCTGTCCAGCACAGAACATTCCGTGTGATAAAATAACAGCAAAACCCTCGCGTCGCATATGCCTCGTGTTCCACTCCTCAAAGAACCGATCCGTTAAAGCCATCGAACCGCTAGCAACTCCAAACTCCGTCTGCTTATTCACACATGGTTTTCGCGGGAAGGAGGCACCTCGACGGTCACCCGGTCAGCCATCCGTGCCTTCCCCCCTTGGTCGCCCCCCAAAGGTCCACGAATACACAACCAAACTTTCATCCGATGCCATTCCGCCACAATCAGAGCCTTCATATACCCCCTCAATCCCATTCCTGTCACCAGCACAGCAGGCGCCCCCTAGGTCGGGGGTCAGGTCAAACTGTGGCGTGGGTGGTGGAATGGTTAATGGTCAACATTCAAATCGCCAACCAGCCTACGCGACGACAGGCTCAGCGCATACGAGTACCGAGTTCGAATCCCAGCATGAGCACCAAGAGATGTAGCCCCCAATTCAGCACCGGGGGGGTGAACTCTTTTGACCTTTTTGACCTTTGTAGATGCTTGCTGAGATCCTCCACAATTACGAGGCTCCGACCGCTGTCGAGTTCATAAGCTCGTCTAAGTGAGCCCGGTCCGAAGCGTGGCCCTTATTCTCTTGCTTTAGAAGTACCGCAAGGACCTCGATTGGCGGGTTGAGACCCAGCCTCTCCGCGCGCTGCCACCGCTTCATGCGCTGGAGGCCGATGCAGGGCTGCAAGTCATATCAGTATCTCCAGCCAGAAAGCAATTGTGGTCAGGATAACTTACACCATATTGAGAGCTAACGTCAAAGTATCGCAAAACCCTCTCAGCCAGACTCACATCACCTTGGTGCACCCTAGGCGCAATGCGCTGAGCCTCGATCGACTTCCAGTACTTGTTGATCTGGGCGTCGCTGATCTTCTCGGCCCTCACTTCGGCCTCTGATTTTTCGGAGACTTCTTCCTTGGCTTCAACCTTCTCAACCTCGGGCGTCAAGGGTTCTTCGATCTGGATCTCGTCGACATCCTTGTGCTCCTTATTGCTTGGCTTGGCGATATCGGATCGGTCAATGGCAGAGGAAAGAGCCACTGTTTTCTTGGTGTCCTTGGGCACCGGCTTCGATACTCTGTTGGAGAAGCTGATGGTCGATTGGCCTCGCGCTGGGCCAGGTCTGGCGCGGCCTCCTCCTGTTGATCTCCTGGTGGTTGGCATTGTGCGAATCGTCGCAAGTACGTGGGCTGGCAGGGGTCTAAATGGGTGGGTGTGAGAACGTCAAGTTTGAGTGACCGATTTACGGAAAATGGAGGTATTGATAACGTCAATCTGATGAATCTGAAATATCACTGATCCAAGGTGAATGCTTCAGATAATGTCACCAATGGGTGTTGTCGCAATGTCATCTGTGAACCATTGCTGGGATGCAATGAATGACGAAAGAGGTAGGAAGGTGGCAGGGGCTTTAATTTGGCGGGGCAACGCGAGGTAGGAGCCAAACCACGTGATTCACTGTGCCTATTGAGCGGTACGCACCATTACTGACACTGTCCTCATCATCGTCGTGATTGTTCGTTGTTCATTTCGACATGTCTCTATCGTCTGTTTTCGGATATGCCACAGGAAGTTTCATATTCCAGGGTTCTTTGGATGCACGCCGACTCTTCCTTGACTTTTTGGTTCCCCTACTCCTTTATGCACCAGTAGCTTCTCTATAGAATGAAATGCTCCTGTTGGCGCCCGCCGTACAGAAAGACTCGTTCTTTCCAGTCTTCGGGAGCCACTTGACAGCCCACAAAGCCTTGTCTGTCTCGCTATGCGTCGCGACACAGGCGCTACGCTCCACTGACCAGACCTTGACCTTTCCGTCCATCGCTCCGCTAAGCAAGTATTCACCCGTGTCGTTCCAGTCAACAGATGTGATCCATGAGGAGTGGCCAGTCATGTTGCTGACTTGCTCGCCATTCTTGATATCGTAGAGAGCAATAACGGATGAGTCGCCAGCAGCAGCGAGTCTGGTGTTTCCAGGGGAGAATGAGACAGAGCGGACAGATTTGACCAGGCCTGGGGAGATTTCTTTAGCAAACAATCATTACGAGTAAAACGTTCGGTGGGGGTATTACCTGGTAGTGAGAACAACAACTTTCCGTTGTCATTGTTGAAGACGTAGACAGCTCCGTTCTGGTGGCCACTGGCAGTGTATCGCCCATCACGGCTCAAGTCGACCGACATACCAAAGCTTCCCTGGCCAGGGCTTCCCGTCTCGTACTCTCTAATCTTGGGCGTGCCCTCTTCTCCAACGTCCCACACATTCACCCGGCCGTCGTAGGTCGTACCCGCCAGGAATTTTCCATCCTCGCTAAGCGCAATGGCCCAGACCTCGCCGGCCTTGGCCGCCTTGTTCGTGATCTCTGAGTGGAGCTTCCACTCGCTCGTGTCCTTGTTGATGACCCAGATCTTCACCTCGCCGGCGAAGCCTGCACTCGCGGCGACCAGACCATTACGGGAGGTGCAGATGTGGTGGCAGCCCAGCTTGTGTGCACCGCTGATGGATTGCGTGATGGGGATCGTGGGGTCGGCTGTGTCGTGGATGTGGAGGGTCGATGAGCCGCTTGCAGATAAGACGGCCCTTGAGGTAGTGGCCAAACTGAAGATATCGGTTATGTGGGCTAACGTTGCTGCATGTTAGCAAGATGAAGCTCTAGAGACGATGGTTCGGAGGTTCTCAAGCTCTAGCTGATAGGTAGCTCACCATTATCCACAGTGTGTGTGGTCAAATATTGTTTCGACTGGCAGAATTAGCTTCCTTTTCGTACACGAACAGACAATTGAGGTCGTACCATGATTCCCAGTCCATGCGAAGCTCGTACCGCTGTAGTTGATGCGCGGTTGTGAGTAGGAAGGTGATGGACGCGATGTGGTCGGGAAGGTGGGGGCTGACATCACACATTTGCGAGAAAAGACCCCTGCAAAGAGCAGCTGGGGCACGGCAGGAGGGGCAATGGAGGGGCACCAGCAAGTACCCTTGCTCAGTTTACCTCAGCACCCCGACTTTATTCAACCTCATTCTTTTTTCATCTTCTAAACATGTATCTCGGGGAACACTTATGAAGAGTAGTTTCCTTCCGTTTAATTCTATGATGACAGTACTACTCGCAGAGAGATCAACTTGCCTTCGAAAAACAATGCTGCCCGCTTACATGGCTCCTGTTTCTACCTCAGCCTTCGATGGCCTTTTGTATAAGTCAAAACGCCTTTGAATTCTTTGTACAAATCACAAGGGTTTCTAGCAGTCGCTTCTCAAAGCTACAGTCTCCAGCTCTCAAACTTACCGGGTTACTCGCCGAGCTCAACTCACCTCGTCGGAGCAATCGCTTCCTGCTCACGGAAGAACTCGACCATTGTAACATTCTGACAGTAAAGAGCCAACTCATACGGCGTCAAGCCACCGATGTAGGGCTCGCCAGACTCCTTCGCTCCGCCCAAGGTCGTTCTGGCCCGCAATTCAGCCCCTGCTTTGATCAGCGCCTTTGCAGTAGGTATCATGGCTTGGTCCTGCTTTTGCTGAGACATTCGTCGAGGGTCCTCCGGATCAGGATGCCATCTCCGCGCGTAGCACGCCATGTGGAGAGGCGTCCATCCCCGAGGGCCGAGGGCATTGGCGTCTGCGCCTTTCTTGAGAAGGAGCTCAACGGTCACGCTCGCTCGTACGCCCCATCTACATACGACATGCAGTGGCGTGATCCCGTTGGTGTCTGTGGTATTTGGGTCGGCGCCGTGAGAGAGCAACCACTTGATTGCTTGATGTCGCCCGGTGACGTCGCCATACGCCGCCGCGAGCAAGGGTGTGCCGAAGTTGTACGTCTTTGACCTTTGCAGTATGGGGAAGTTGCTTCCAAAAGTGCTTTCTACGCGTCCATAGTTCATCATGTCTATTGGGGTTCCGGTCTTCTCAAAGGCGTAGTTGACTGATGCGCCGGCCTCGACGGCCGCTTCCAACGCAAGGAGGTTGCCGTTGAAACTGGCCCATCGAAGAGCATACCAGTCATCCTCTTGTCCACTTCGCTGGTAAAGCACACACCTCAACGTTTGATACAGTGCCCTACATGTGATGGCCAAATTTTTGAGGTCGGTAATGCCTTCAAGAACGTTCGATAGCGTTGGCTTATTGGGGTTTTCGTAAAAATAGTCATCCACTATCTTCAGGTCATCGGAGTCGGAGTCGGCCTCGGCTTCGAGAGCACCGTGAAGTCTTAGATGTTTTGCTGGCTTTGGCTTCGGTCGTGGGCCAATGGCTTTCACGATCTGCAGGACAAGCTCCGTTGGGATAGGAATGCCTGCCCGACCGGTGGTCTTGGAGTCGTCTCGAGGCGGCTGAGGTGATGTCATTTCGGCAACTTGATTCAGTCCCAAAGTCGTACTTACTAGGTGTCTTTGCCGTTCTATCCACGTCTATGCGACCTCTGTTGGTTGCATCAGATAGGCGTGTTTGTGTCTACTTGCAAGTTGTGGTTGACTTTAGAAGAGTCAGTCATTGTATTATGTAGTTTGGTATCCCGATGCACAGACAGTTCGCACTCTTGTCTGCAGACTGACTTCTCAAAAAATATCTATGACCATATCTTTGCTCGCCGTAGTTGATCATGATCTATCAGATTGCACGGCTTCAATGTCGCTTTGCTTTGGTTCTTATTGTTCCAAATACCACGTGTTATTCACACAGAACAATGGAGGACTTGCCCCAGTGTCATAAAACTGGGACTCCATCTTTGTCTAAGGTTACAACCCCTACTTCCGTTGAACATGTCTTTGTTGATCCTATTAGCCAACCAGTACCCGATGGTTGGTTCCTGGAGCTGGATTGTTAAGGAGGGGAGGCTAGAAAGAAGAAAAGGCCTGGCGGCAAGACTGAAGTCAATACATCAGAGTCGTGGCGGAACAGATGTAAAAGTTCGCTTAGGAAGTAATCCTCTGTAGGCGCCAAACTTTGGGAGATCAAGTAGCATCATCAAATGAGTGCAGCAGACAATGGAACTCAGCGTAACCTGTGTCTATCACCGAGGTGGATGTCGATGGCCCCATCTCAGCGGGCCCGGCCATCGAAACCGCGTGGATCCAGTCTTTCCGTGTTGTAACTGAGTTCTGATTTTGGTATTCAAAGGCCGTGCCCGCTCGAGACATTCTTCTACATCGACCTTGGTCTACAGACCAGATGTACGTTCATAGGGATGTTGTTTTGCCAATATTTTCCACAATTGTCGGAGTTCCGACTGTTTGTACCCGAGTCCATCATGAGATATCGATCAAGTGATGTTTGCCATGTACCTAGTGATAGGCTCCTTCAAACGCCTGCTTTTTGCCCACGTTCCCGGCGGCATGTAGATAACCCTGAGCTTGCCACATTGAAATTCATTGTAAAGGTGCGCTGATGAACAAATTCGCAACCTCCAGACGAAGTTCGAGGACCTTTATTCGCCACTTGATGATCAGCCCATAATTTCAAGCCACTCGGGGCGGATGTAGAGGCGAGCCTTGCTTCAAAGCTTCAGCGGCAATTTACTCTATTTCATGACCAGTAAACACCGGTCTGATGACAGCTGGGCACGTCGGAAGAAGGTGATGGATTGTCCCAAACGCCAAAGTATGCTAACCAATTGTACACTTGAATATACACGTCTCGAAATGTTACACAGCCATTGGGCGATTTAAACGAACTTTCCTGAGGGGTTCTCCTCTTTCCACATATCCTTGATCTCTGCACAATGGTTGTTAGTTTGACGTGTACGGAGAACGGTTCTTGCAAGGGAGACGTACTGCTCAGGCAGTGTGGGCATACCACGTGCTGCCTCTTGATCTGGCCGCAGCCTGGGCACTTGCACAGAGACTTGACATCCTGCAACGCCTTGCCTGCCATCTGCCTGTGTCTCTTCTTCGAGTGAGAGGTCTTCTTCTTGGGTACCGCTCGCAAGATGGACTCCCAGATGCCGCCGAGCCAGGCGGGGATGTTGAGGTTGAAAGCCGGGAGCGCGAAGGAGAGCGCCGGGAGGAACGAGTTGGTGACTTGGCGTGTGTAGAGGGAGAGGATTCTTGGTGACTGAGCGAAGGCTGGCGCGGAGATGCGGGGGAAGAGGGAGGTCATGCGCAAAGGCTGCGCGCCCATGGCGATGGCTGCCATTTTTTGGATGGTGATCGATCGTTTCGAGCTCTGATGGAGGGGTTGTCGGGAAGTCAGGGAATGCCAACAGTAGAACCCGGGTTATTTGTAGACGAGGATATAGATTCGGGCCGAAATTTGTTTTGCCGCCGGGTATCGAGGGTTCGTGGCTGCGTAGATGTCCTGTCGTGAAAATGTGTATCCACGTTGAAGCTGCTGCTACACCACTGTCGTGCACATCGCGAGGCTCAAGCTTGTTCCATTCCGAGCCGGAAAAAAAAAAACGGCTTGCGACCGGGGAGCTGTCAATTGAGATCTGCCAGCCAATCACAGCTTGGAAGAGGCACAGACCGCCATCAGCCAATCAAGGCGATGGAGACCCCTTTTCCCCTTTCCCTCCCACAGCCCCTGCACCTACCTCCCTGCAGGGAAATTATTTGTTTGCTGGAGTGGAAGGAGCAACCTATTAGCTGCAGCCAACGGCGACAGCCAGTGCCTGGCAGACAGGACACGGGGGGCACTGGGGGGTGGACGGGGACGGGTAGCAAGCAAGTGCCAGCGAGAGAGGAAATTACCCTTGGTTGGGCCAAATCATTTGGTTGACTTTCCCACCTGGGCTCATTCTCATTCACCGGCTTCTGTCCTTCAGAAACATCCGCCAACCTCGTGATCCTCTTTTTCCTCTCTCCCTGCCCATCGCCTTCTCCAACTCCGTCTCTCCTCCCCCTTGACGAGGCCGCAATTCGAGTTCGAGTACCAGATACCCTTCTTGGAATACAGAAACGTATCTCAACTTCACTCCTTAACAGCACACACTCACGCGCACCGTTCACTCTCGCTCCCTTGCGGAAAAGCTATCACAATGGCGCAGCCTCAAACCATCTTCCCCCAGACCCATGTCGGTTTCGACAGCATCACGTCCCAGATTGAGAAGAAGCTCCTGAAGAGAGGCTTCCAGTTCAACGTCATCTGTGTCGGTAAGTTATTCCCCGCAACCCCAGATCACAATCACTGGCCTAGCAAGCTGGATTGTCCCCCTATGTCGCGTCGGCAATCGACTAATCGCATCTCGTGTTTCCATGATATAGGCCAGACTGGTCTGGGCAAGTCCACCCTGATCAACACCATCTTCGCCTCCCACCTCATCGACTCCAAGGGTCGTTTGATGCCCGATGAGCCCGTCCGCTCTACCACCGAGATCCAGGCCGTCTCCCACATGATCGAGGAGAATGGCGTCCGTCTGCGCCTCAACATCGTCGACACCCCCGGATACGGCGACCTGGTCAACAACGACCGCTGCTGGGATCCCATCGTCAAGTACATCAAGGACCAACACTCCGCTTACTTGCGAAAGGAGCTCACCGCTCAGCGAGAGCGTTACATCCAAGACACCCGCATCCACGCCTGCCTCTTCTTCATCCAACCCTCGGGCCACTCCCTGAAGCCCATCGACATTGTCGTCCTGAAGAAGCTGTCCGATGTCGTCAACGTCGTCCCCGTTATCGCCAAGTCCGATACCCTGACTCTTGAGGAGCGCCAGGAGTTCAAGGAGCGTATCAAGGAGGAGTTCGCTTTCCATAACCTCAAGATGTACCCGTACGACAACGACGAGTTTGACGACGAGGAGCGCAGCTTGAACACCCAGATCAAGGTCAGTCATGCCATTTGGCTCGCGCACATTCCAATTACTAATAGACCCCACAGGATCTCGTTCCCTTCGCCGTCGTCGGCTCCGAAAAGTCCATCATTGTCAACGGCAAGCAGGTTCGCGGTCGCCAGAACCGGTGGGGTGTCATCAACGTTGAGGACGAGAACCACTGCGAATTCGTCTACCTGAGAAACTTCCTTCTCCGCACCCATCTCCAGGATCTCATCGAGACCACCTCGCAGATTCACTACGAGACTTTCCGTGCCAAGCAATTGCTTGCGCTCAAGGAGAGCAGCGCGCACGGTGGCGGTAGCAGACCCATCAGCCCTGCTGCTGACCGTGAGCTCAGCCGGAACTCTCAACGAATGACCTTGAACGGATACTAGTTTACGGATATCCCACCCCCACCTACTCGAGGCGCCTGACGGCCATGATATTCTTGGGCAGCTGGGCTTCTGACGACTTTCAATCTCATGGTGTTATGCGCAGACCAACAAAAAGAACAGGCACGGTACGGCCTCGACAGCATGCGGATGCTGCATCGACCAGTAATGCAGAGGGGAGGTAGCAACCGCTACGTCCATGGTAAAACTTGGCGGAAGTGATTTCGCATGGGAGGCTCGAACATGCTTGCGTGGCGCACGGATATAGGCCCATACCCCCTTCTCTAGACTTCATGGTCGTTGTTTAAGTACTCGTGCTGGCGAAAACAGTCCAATATTCCCCCTTTCCGCCTCATCAGCTGGACGCACTTCTACTGTTTTCTTATTTCGGCTTTTTTAAAGCAGCATTTCAAGCTCGGCTTCACTTGTACCCCCATTTTCTTCTTACACTTTAATCCATTCGTACTCTGATAGAGAGTTCGTTTCGATACCTCGTGGAATACAACCGACATGGCTTATGACTTGCGGGCTTGGATGTTTCTTGTGATGTGTATTCCTCTGTCCTGAGTACGGCAATAAATAGCCAGAGGTTTCTGCCACGTGTAGATGTGGCTCTATGGATTGCTTTTATACGCTCTCATGTGTGTATATATGCTCACAATGACCGCCCGTGCTATGAAGAAGATCCACAGACCATTTGTGAACTCTTAAAGGATATTCAGTTTCCAACGCCCCGTCACCATGCCATCCGATCCGAACCTCCCTCTCGCTCTCTATCTCTCTAATCCGCCCTCGTTGTCATGGTCTCTCTACTGAGAAGGGTTGTAGACAAAGTCCTCGAGGGTCTTGTAGGCCTTCTCGAGGTCGTCGTTGACAATAACCAGATCGTGAACGCCGGGTGTTTTGGAGTAGGCCAGCTCGAGCTTGGCTTGCGCGAGACGCTTCTGGATGCTCTCTTCCTTCTCGGTGCCGCGGCCGCGGAGGCGCTTCTCGAGCTCTTCTTCTGAGGGGGGCGCGATGAAGACGTAGCGGGCGGGGAAGTTTGACGTCTTGATTTGCTTGACTCCCTAGATGTTCAAACCCCACGGTCAGTATTGGAAATTCCTGGTTGGAGGGGAAAGAGGTGCGTATAAAGCAAAAACGTACCTCCATCTCGATGTCGAGAACGACGAGCTTGCCCTTGGCGGACTGCTCCTCGATGGTGGCCTTTGAGGTGCCGTACGAGTTGCTGCCAAAGGTGGCGTGCTCGACGAAGCCGTCCTTGCTGACGAGGTCGTCAAAGGCGTCCTTTGTGACGAAGTGGTAGTCGACGCCGTCCGCCTCGCCGGGTCGCGGGCCGCGGGTGGTGTGGGAGACGGAGAGGGCGAAGGAGTCTGGGTGGCGCTCGAAGAGGAGCTTGTAGAGGGTGCCCTTGCCGACGCCCGAGGGGCCGGAGATGACGATTGGTCTGCGGTCGGAGGGGAGGACTGTCATTTTTGGATGAGTTAGTCTTGTGTGAAGTTTATGCCTTCTTTTGTTTCCTCGTTCCTTCTGGAGAGAGAATGTGTCTTGCAACGGGCTTGCGAGAGGGAGAGAAGTGGGAGGGGCAGAGCTGAATTGGGCCGTGATTCAGAGGTTTGGGTGAGGAAGTGACGATGTATGGAAGGACAGTGGTGAAGCTTACCTGGCGCCATTGTGCTTGCGAAACGAAACGGTTGACTTTTGGGTATGAATCTTGTCAGTGGAGGTTGTCGTGAGAAGGCCTGGGTAAATGGTCGGAGGCGGGGCAACATTAGATGGAGTATCGGTCAAGGAAGGCTCCAAGGGAGAAGCAAGAACTGCGCTCGCTAGCCTCGAAAGTTTCAGTAGGTCTACGGGCACGGCGGCGGGGGTCGGAAAGGGGGCAGAGGAGGGGCAGACTGGATGAGAGCGGGTTAGGACGGGCGGTCTGGACAGTCACAAGCCTCAGAGGCGGGAGAGGTGGAGGAAGGGGGTTGACGGGACTGGACCGGACACAGACAGGTACGGCGGGAGTTGGGGGACGCAGTGACACTCGCTGTACGCAGTACCTACACTGAGGTGAGGTGGTAACTGCGCGGCAGGGTAAGGTATCCAATGGTGGTGGGGGGGAAGCTCCTGCCGGCAGAATTGGGGGTGGCATATGCCGCTGAAGAGTCAACGTTGGGCGCCCCATGAGTCAGCGGGGCGGTGTGTTGGTGCCCGTTGGGGGCATGGCGGCAGGGTTTACTTTGTCTCTGATTTGCTCCCTTGCATTTGGTCGTTGCTTTTGCCCTGACGAAGTAGCGGTGTCAACACTGCTTTCCAGAAGCTCGAGCCTTACCTTGAATGAATTGCATAAGCTGAGCAGCTTCTATAGTTTCTCTACTTACTTTCAGTGGACTTTCAGCGCTAAGTTGACACTGAATTCAGTGTGAGGGCATGATCAAGTTATGGTCTTGACTGAGTACCTATGTAAGGTAGGCTTGACTACATTTGTGATTTCCCTTCAACTTCCAAGCATGGCTGTATATCATCAGTGAGATGATACGTTTCCTACCTCATTCATTAAGTCAACTCTCGCAAACTCATTGATAATTCATCTCGACTCATGCTGTTCTTGGCATCTTTCATGTCACAGCCAGGATAACTGGGTTAGGACTCAACTCATAGAAACGGTGGTAGAAGGGTCGTAAATCCAGGCTCAGCTTACAACGTAGAAAAAATACGAAACAAATACCTGGACTCAATGAGAACACGACTTTCCACGACCTTTAATCAGCAAGTACAACATCAAGCCGTTGACGGTGTTAGGAATCTCGAAGAGAACACGTACTTCATGTATCCTCAATTGACTGACGCAGCATTTATTGTTGATGTTCAGGCAAAAATACACCCAGTCAAGTTGCTAATTCTACTGAGTATTGTTACCATTCATGATGCTCTCCCAGTGTCGTTCCCAAGTAGTAACCTGGTTCACCAGACCCAAATGCCCATGTGTATTGGAAGCAGGTCAAATCTAAAATCTCACACACTATGTGAACCCTTTCAAAGAGTTCATCCAGATCTAGCTCGGAAACTCCGGGGGAATGTAGTAAGCGTTGAAAACCTCTATCGTCGCACTCCCTTCTCCAAAGGGGGGAGACGAAAAACTACCTACCAGGACACCGTCTCTTCGATCTGCCGCCTTCTGAGACCACAAGACGATGTGAACTAAATCAGGACACCTCGTGTCAACTATTCAAGATTTTTTTTATTCCAGCTTGATGCCGGTCGTGAAAGGGAATATCATTGTCAACGTTACTGACGCAGGAGCCTGTCGACCCCTATCGGTGGTCGCTACATTGCTGCTTCACAACGTATCTCAATGAAAAGGCGACTTTGATGGCGCGAAATCGTTTACCGACGGACCTACATTGGAACCGCAAATGGATATTTCGTGGAACACATGATCCATCAGAGGAGAAGTCTCACTGTGCTGTCGCCTCCTCGCAAACTCCACCATGTCTACCTCTTGAGAAGACGCGATCGGCGCCTTCGTCACCCTTGAATCACGATATGAAAAGTCATACGTAGCTCAAAGGCATGATGCCACACAGGAAACAGATGGTTTGTCTGTGTAGATCTCAGAATGACAAGGTCGAAATATGGAAAGGAGTCAGAGGACTACACACCGTCGAACAGGTAGGCTGGAGATTCCCCTTGAAATCGACTACGGGCTATACAGGAGATGTGTAAACTATCACACTGTTGTGGATCTTACTACTTATCACAAAAAGTCGTTCGGTCCTTGTCAGAGTGCCTTGATAAGTGATTGAATTCCTCAAGTACGAAGATGATTCTCGAGAGCGAAAAGACAACAATGTTTGGCGTCAACTCTCTAGCCCTCGTCTCTGATGTATGCCACCTGCTGTCTGATTAATCTATGATGGAATCCTACGTCAGTGTCTCTGTTTTATCGATGGGAACGACTCGGGAAACGGCAACGGGATCGTCAACTACATCCTTCCATCTTCCGATATAGCCGACTGGCATACTACGTATATACACTGCAAGTATCTCCCAGCCACAAGTAGGAAATACTCATTATAGCTGGAGACTCAACCTGTCTTCGTCACGATAAGCCACGTAATCAAAAAGTGTCCCAGTTCTTGGCAGCAAATTACAATCAACCTGAAAGCGTATGAAATAGCAATCGAGGGCATTCAGAGCGTGGCGCAGCCCCTGTGAGCACGGGAACGATCCCGTCCAATCCGACCCCGCATGATGGATGGGGCCAGACTCCTTTCACATGTTTCTTCGTTGATCTGGATGGCGGCTGTTGATCTCTCAGGCTTTGGAAGTGCCGCACAATCGGAGTGGTTGGTGTTGATGTTGCCGGCGAAATGGCAAGAATGTCGAGTTTGTGGATACGGCACTGGCCTGGAGCCCCGAGACTTGCATATCTTATGATGGCGAAGCCTCCGAAGAGCTTCAATGAACTCGAGAATGCAACACCGGTGGTGAGAGGGTGCTTAAAATAGAAACACAGATCAAGATGACAGCTAGGCTTAGCCAACGGTGAGGCTGCGATTGCCGGCCCACGGCATCCTGGAGTACCCTGGGCCATCTGCCCGGCCACCAAATCCGGGGTCGACGCCACGTAGCCTGCATTGGAACGCAAAAGGCTCGGTTGAAGATGCCGGATAGTCCAGGCAAGAATGTAGTGGCGATGCCACAAACGGTGAGTGTTGGTCGGGAAGGTCGGCCGTCGGAGCCGATCACGGCACGGAACCAAGGTGCCGGGCGGGGCCGTGTCTACCGGTCGGTTGCTTCCCGTGCCCCCGCCCCCCCTGGTTAGTGAGTGAAATATTCCTCCCCCCGCCAAGAGTCAAATAAGATGGGGGCCGTTTGGTGAGTGAGGTAATAATTTGCATGTGGGGGCCCAGCAGGGGGATGCGAGTCTATCACAATCAAGCACTTGTGCTGGACAGGACCCATTCACCCGGCCGAAATACGATGTGCTGGGCCGCTGGCAAGTGCAATCTTTTTGAACCCCGTCGTAAAGAGCCAGTCACGGGGACGGCAGTAATGGGGTATCAAAAGTGGTTGACTTCTGGCGGAGTACCACTTGCGAGCGGATTTCCTTTCGTGTTCAACGGGCCCAAGGGCTCCACGGCACGCGGGACACCCGCGTGTTCCATGCCATGCCGTGATATGCGATGCACCGCCCGCAGCCGCCGTAGTCTCGTGCCTTGCAGCTGGTAGGGCGCAACTAACGACACTAGTCGATGGGGGCAGAAGAGAGGCAAACGAACGGGGTGATTTGTGTTCCTGGATCTCGTATGGTAGCACGAACTTTCGGCGCAGAACAACCGCTAAGGTACGGTGGCTTGTGGAAGACCAGCGCTGAGAAACCATTTTGCACATCGACAAGGCTTCGTCATCTCCACCAACACAGCCTAGAAAATCAGCCGCAAGAAACCTAAGCCCAAAATTCCAATTGGCGGTTGGACCAGTCGCCATCTAGGCCAGCCAGATCGGGAGGTTGTCGGGTTCACGTGGTTGGAAGTGCGTGGAACAAAGAACCAAGTTGGGTACTGACCAAAGGCAAAATCGTCTCAAAACAACCGTCTCTGGGTTCCCGAGTGTCTTCTTTGGGGAAGAGAGTTACAGAGACAGCGGTTTGCCCGAGCGCTGAGGCGGTTTTGGCTCGCAACAAAGGCAGATGTACCAGGCGGACCCTGGAAAAGTAGCGTAGAGATGACACCATGCTGAGGTGAAAACATCGGATATGTTCAGTGGTGGAAGGGGAGAAGAATGCGAAAGTTCAGAATTGGCCGTGGTTCGTTCTGTCAATCAATCCACTTCGCCCGTTCCCCGTGTCTCAGAGTCTCCTGTTGGCTAGTCGGGGCGCATTGTCCTAGGAAAGCTTGAACAAGTATGTCTCACACGGTTTCGAAGGGGACTGTCTCTTCCGGGAGATGTCTTTCTGAGTGGTGACGTTGAAAGCAGACTCGGACCTGTCACTGTAAACAACATCAGCTTACATGACCAGCAAATATTATTGAAAGACGGTGCCTCTCGGGCGCATGTCGTCTGTTCGTAAGAGGAAGGCCCAAGAGATGGAGCCCTGCAGCATGGGAATGGACCCCAGCGGCCCTGCAGATAAACGAGCCCGAGGACCAACAAGGAGATTAGTTTAGGCTGGGAAAGTAATGAGAAGCCAAGCTTTAGCACATGCAGAGAGGAGAAAGTGGGCGACTAGTCAGCGCCTCTCGCTCTCGTCCACTGATTTGCTCGTTGAGTTGTTGCGAATTGCCCATGTCTGTTCAGTCTACGCCCGGATCAGCGCGTTGTCCGGGCCATCCCATGTTCTCTTCTTTCTTTCGCTTCTCTCGCGTTTGGGACTTTTGACTGTGGAGAGAGGGGCGGTCTCTGACGCTTCCCAGCCCTGTAGGTGTGTGAGAGAAGGGCCTTGCTTCAGGAACTGTGATGCCGAGAGGCTGTGTGTGTGTGTGTGTGTGTGTGTGTGTGTGACCTCGCGAGTAGAGAGTTTGTATGGCGGGTGTGGCTGGACGACAACAAACGGAAAGAAAGGCAATTAGTAAAGCAGACTCTACAACGTAGGCAAAGTCGCGAGCTAATGACGGCGATCTGGCGAAAAGTATGGTTGTAAAGATAGGACCGTTGGTCTGGAAAAGTCGACGACGGGGCGGGGGCTAAGGCCGCCTGCGAGACGGAAACCAATTCGACTTGTTTTTGACTCGCAACAGGGGGGGCGCAGAGGCAAAAGAGCCAATGGATGGGCTGGACAGGTGAGCAGAGATGAGACGGTGATGTGAGAGCAAGCCTCAAGGTCCGAGAGACTTGGAGGGAAGTGCCGGGGGACTCGAGATGGGACGGAGAGACATCATTGTCCTTGTGGTTCCTTCCTTTTCTTTGCTTATGGCGGTACCTGACGGAGTATACTTGTTTACCGTTCTTACCGTGAGGTGAACCCTGAGGCAAAGTATCACGGTAAAGGTACGGAATAGAAAAGGTACATCGAGGGTGGGAGAGAAGAAGGTGCAAAGGTGAGGTGGGAGAGATTGTGTGACGCTAGGCCGAGATGAGACAAAAGCAGTGAGCATCGTATCCAGCAGGCGGGAGCCAAGGTGCCTTTTCCATTTTTAATTTACATGTCACGACTTCCCTAAGTTCCCTCGCCGTGTCAAGTTTCGCCGTTGCTCCTCCTTCTTATTACTATTACTTGCCTCCTCTTATTAGCCCAGAGCCTGTCTGTCGCACCTGGTCTCGTTTCTCTTTTCTCTCCACGAATCCGCCTGGAGACCTCTCATTGTTTGCAGTCTGCAACACTCGCTCGACAGAGTCGCGCCTGTATTGTTCGTCTGTGTAAAAGGAAGAAAAGCACCGTACACACAAACACACACAGCACCCTCCTCCAACCACTTCACACACACCTCGTTCCTCTTTTCGTTTCTCGTCACTCTCTCAAAACCACATCCACAAATCCACAGAAGAATTGTTTTCTTTTTGGACCCTTTTTAGTGTCTCAATTCTCTTTTTCTTGCCTTGCCTTGGCTCACCACAAATACCCACATTCATCTTCTCGACGCTCTCTTGGATTTCGTCCCACCTTTTAGACTAAAGGCACGACCAAACGAAGAATAACGACTTCACCAAATACTTCTACGACTACACACGTCTAATACCCGACGCCTACCAGCCCAACACTACTACCTGGAAATAATCCTGCCAGTATTGCAGCCATGCTTGTAAGTCGTAGCCCTTTTTATTCTTCTATCCCTCCTCCGCGCCGCTTCCATTGGATCGTTTGGTCCAATCGACCGTTTCGATCGTTGTAGCAATCCATCGCGCGGCGTCGATCAGGGCGTAAGAGACAAGCCAAGTTCCTCTCCTGTTGGTTCATGTGGAGAGACATCCCCATGAGCCATCAGCGGAATCCTGTACATTGGCGACGCCACATTCTGTCGATCCCCCTCCCCCTCATGTTCCTTCTCTGTCCCTTCCCCAAGACATGCTGCAACACCAACATCACCGTGTAACTTTAATCTAATTTGGCGCCAATCTGCAGGTCCAAACTGCTCTCGTCGCATTGAGTGCGACTCTGGCTGCCGCTGTCAAGCCTCTCACCGTTAAGGGCAATGCCTTCGTCACTGAGGGCGGCGAGAAGTTCCAGATCGTTGGTGTCGACTACCAGATTGGCGGCAGCGCCGGCTACGACCCTTCTCACGGTCGCGACCCCCTCAGCGATGGTGACATTTGCCTGCGCGATGCTGCCCTTCTCCAGCGCCTGGGCGCCAACGCCATCCGCGTCTACAACCTGGACCCCAACTTGAACCATGATGCTTGCGCTTCCGTCTTTAACGCAGCTGGCATGTATATGATTCTCGACGTCAACTCTCCCCTCGTCGGCGAGAGTATCACGAGTTTCGAGCCCTGGACCAGCTACTACGCTGCCTACCTCAACCGCACCTTCGCCATCGTCGAGGCTTTCAAGAGCTACCCCAACACCCTCGCCTTCTTCTCCGGCAATGAGGTCATGAATAACGTTCAGACGGCCGAGTTCGTTCCCCAGTACCTCCGCGCCGTCACTCGCGACTTGAAGAACTACATCGCCAAGCACTCCGACCGCGCCATCCCCGTCGGTTACTCCGCTGCTGACGTGCGCGAGATCCTCGTCGACTCCTGGAACTACCTGCAGTGTGCTGAGAACGGAGACGCCAAGGACCCCAGCCGCATCGATCTCTTCGGCCTCAACTCCTACTCGTGGTGCGGTGATTCCAGCTTCAAGACCTCCACCTACGACCAGCTCGTCTCTAGTCTGAAGGACACCTCCGTGCCCGTCTTCTTCTCCGAGTTTGGCTGCAACCAGGTCACCCCTCGCCCCTTCACCGAGATTGGCTCCATCTATGGCTCCGACATGAACTCCGTCTTCTCCGGAGGTCTCGTCTACGAGTACAGCCAGGAGGACAACAACTATGGTCTCGTCAAGGTCAATGACGATAAGTCCGTCAAGCTGCTCATTGACTACCAGAACCTTGCCACGCAGTACAAGAAGGTCGACTTCAAGACCCTGCAGGCCACTAAGGCACCTTCCTCCTCTCCGGACCCTCCCAAGTGCGCCTCGTCCCTGATCAAGGAGAAGGGATTTAACAACAACTTCACCCTGCCGGACGTTCCCCCTGGTGGCCAGGACCTCATCGACAACGGTATCAAGAACAAGCCCTCTGGCAAGATCATCTCCATCTCCGACTGGACCGTCAAGCACAAGGTCTACGATGTTGACGGAAAGACGGAGATCACTGGCCTCGCCGTCTCTCCCCTTGCCGACTCCGACTCCAACACTCCCGGCACTAACACTGGCGGTACCACTATTCCTGCTGCCACCGGCACCTCCACCCCTACCGGCACTTCCACCCCTTCGTCGAGCACCACCCCCAATGCCGGCATCGCAGTGCGCCCCGAGGTTGCCGCTCTTGCTGCACCTCTGCTTGCTCTTTTGTTCTTGTAAAAGCTCTGGAAGCGTACGCTGGATGTTGTATGTGGCTCATTAGGAAGGTTTGGAGGTAATGACTTGGTTTCTTTCTGGCATCATAGATTCCCCGCGGTTTGTTTATAAACCTCAATTGATACTTATTAAGACTTGAGCTGTGGCGTGTTATATGTGATGAGTGCTTGAATATTGGGCAAGCTAAACCCTTCCGATTAGTGTAACTTGACACTGGCGATGGTTCGCGATCGTACGTATCACGATAGTTTGAGAGAGACATCTTGGGCATCTTGATGTATGATCTCACGTCTGAGACAGCCTATTCTGTATCGTCGTATATAAATAACGTACTCACGGGATATGATTGGCAGGGAGGCATCAAGATGCTGGTGGGCGCTGGGCTCATGTCTCTAGAAGCTGTGTGCCCCGGAGATGGAGGGCATCAATCTACGTTAATCTATGCCGACCTTTGAACGTCATGGAAAAGGAGGGAAGTCGAGGTTGAACCTCCTGAGATCCGTTCGCTCCGTCACGTTCTTTCAGCCCTGGACGTATTCGTGAATGTAGGGCTTGAGCGAGATGGTCGGTGATTATTATCGAAATAGCGGGAAGACAGGGAGTATTAAGGAACGAACGTGAGACTTACTACTTTGAAATCATAAAAAGAACTTTGACCTTGAGCAGACGTATCCAAGATGGATAGTGTGTGAGATCAAGACCCGATTGATCCCATTGTAAGGTGCCTGCCCGTGGCGTTGTTTAATCTTCCTAGGTGAGAGCAACGAAAGCTTTCAACAGACTGGAATAGTCTTGTTCTTTATATACTACCTTGGCCGTGGAGGAATGCCATCTCGGCCTTGCGAAACTGAATGGTGTCCTTCTCAGACTTTGCGGCGGGCGAAAGTGGCAAAAGCTCCCTGTAAGCCAGAACGTATCTCATCTTTAAAGATTAATCTGGCTCTTAAACAGAATCAAATAAGCAGCCTCCTCTCAGCCTGACTATACTGTGACTTATTGATAATAATAGTCTCCCCAAGTAAGACGAACAAAAGCTAACTATGTAATCACAAACCAGAACGTGTATTGCTTTTATATCCTACCGTAGCTCGAAGATTATAGAGCCCCTTGGCCCTGTTCTCAAAATTATCGCTGCTAACCCTCTCTGTTTTAACAGTCTGAAGCCCAAGGGTAAAAAGGAGATCTGCTCCATGACAAGGGCCTTTTGCCACCTTCCTCGCCCCAGTCCGGCCTCTTTATCAAGAACCCTACACGCTGTCACCAACCACGCTTCACTGGAAGGTGTGTAAAAGCGAGTGATACAAGGTGAAACGATGGAGTGTGGTATCGGGTTATGTAAAGAGTATATACATTTACGTTTAAAGCAAAGTGGGTGGGTTGAGACTTTATGTTAGAAGAAGTAACGGCAAAGAACTAGATTGCTTTATAGCGATGGGATTCTACAGATATAGATACTTACAGACACTTGCCTCTTAAGCCATGAACTTGATCCAGAACAGGCAGGCCTTATCTGAGCCAGGCCGTGGCTCTCCAAGGTAACAAGATCAGCAATCATCTTATCCAGATCCCATCATCGTTCGACAACGGACTGGTTTCGCGCCTAGACGACGAATTTGAAAATGTTGAGTCTTCTTTTCGCGTTCAAATGGTTCCTCCAAGTCATCCCCGGCCGTGAACGTACTGAAAGTTCGCCAATCCATGGTCGTCTCGGTCGAACTAACCATACCCGTTATATAGCCGGGAATTCTCGATATTGTGCAGAAGCTAAATACCCTTCTTGCCTTTTCTTAACAAGAGTCATAACAGGAAACGCGAGGGACGAAGCGCGCGTGGCATCTAGAGTACGTCAAGGGACTATATATATACACGTCTATGAAGAGGACTGAATAAGCTGGGGGCTTGGAAGGAACCACATCCACCAGCCGTTCTACGAACGCAATAAAAAGAGCTTGGGATGCCGTTTCCATCTGCAAAAGGCCGTACATGCTACGTCACTTTGTTCAGGGAGCCCGAGGACGGGATACCTGCCTTTCTATCTCTATATAAATGAGACAAAAGATAGGCTCTCTCTCCCTTCGGGTATGATCAGTCGGCCAGCTTGACACAAGAGTATCAATAGTCTTTAATATCATCTTAATTGATGACTGAACACACACACGCACACACACTAGACGAACACCGCTTTAATCACTTTGAGTCACAACAGCATTGAAACGAGAAACAAGCATTGAACCTCTAGTCAAGATCACATTACAGAGCGTCTAATTATTTGCTCATCTGATCGTCGACCATGCCCTCCATACATACGATACAAGGACCCGGCCCTCGACCTTCCTGTCAAGAGCATTTGTTGCACCAGCCGTCATAAACACCGTAAACTTTGCAAGCGTACAAGAAAGTGGGCAAGATGCCATTCCAAGTACCAGGCAAAAACTTTCCTTTCGTCTAAACCCGTGATACCAGAACTATGGCTCTCCAAGTCCACCCCCCCAAACACACATATTTCATTTCATTTATACCGTTTAACCTCTGAACTCCTCAGCGCCGCTGGCCTCCCATCTGCCGGGGACGAGGGCCAGGGGCACAATACCGGAGACGTGCATCTCGGGGCCGAAGATCTTGGCGTTCAGGCCAAGTTCTTGGGTGGCAGCCTTCATGTTCTTGAGACCCTCCTGGTAGTTGGGGCCGGCACGACGGACCCAGATCTGGACCTTGTGCTCGTTGAGCTGCTTGGCGTAGTCGCGGAGGGCGCGGATGACACCCTTGAATGTGCTGGCGACGTTGGTGAAGTTGGCGATACCACCACCAATGAAGAGGACCTTGCCCTCGTCGGTCAGGGGAGCGCGGAGCATGAGGTCGAGGACGGTGCGGGCGTAGTGGTAGGTCTGAGACTCGGTGGGAGCACCAGAGTACTCACCGTAGTTGGCGAGCTCGTCGGCAAAACCGGAAGAGGCAATGGCATCGGCGTAGACGACGGAAGCACCACCACCAGCGACCAGAGTCCAGATACGTCCGTTGGGGTTGAGGACGGTAAGCTTGAGGGAGGCACCGGTCTTGGCGTCAAGGTCGGCAATGTAGGCCTCCTCCTTGGTCAGCTCACGACCGAAGGGAGCGGGGAACTCCATCGGCGGGCCGGCATCGATGTTGACCTTCTCGCCGTTGGCGGCGGCGACGTTGGTCAGGCCGAGAGCGGCAGGGGAGCGGGCAATAGCCCACTTGACACCGCACTCGAAGTCGGCGGTCTGGTCGAGCTTGGCAGCAAGATCGAGGAAGTGCACAGAGGCGGAGGTGGCATCCTCGTTGGGGATGACAACGAGGGGGTTGATCTCGAGGTAGGTGAACTGGCACTCGACGTAGACGGCGTACAACCGGGTGATGAAGTCAACCAGCACGTTGTGAACACCCTTGGGGACCTTCTTCAACAGAGACGCGGCGATCTCGTCGTTGGAAGGGTATTGTGAGAGGTCGACGGGGATCAAGAGCTTCTCAGCCTTGGCGTCAACATCACCGACATCAACACCACCCTCGTGGGTGAAGAGGATCCAGTCGCCCTATCGGAAATCCATGATTAGCATCGATGATTTTATGTGAGGGTTTCGACAGATGAGGCATGAGGGCCGTCGTATGCATATGGCAACTTCTGCAAGAGGCATGGGTGGACGGGGTGGACGGGCCACAGGCCTCGTCTCGTGGCATCCGTTCGTCCGGTTCGGGAGAAAAATTACCGGAAAGGGCAGTCCAGCGGCCGGAATCCACTTATTTGACCCATGGATAGGAAATGGCATAAAGCATGCAAATTCCCTTTCCACGGTTGCCAAACAAAGTTTTCTTCCAGTTATTCTCACTTTCAACCGTCGATGAGTTTCACTTTTGCAGTGTGATGATGCGTTGGTGTTTTCACACCCGCGCGACTCATTGATGGGTGGACTGCCCACTCCGGCCCCGCCAACGAATTGGAGAAGACGGCCCGCTACGCCATGCCTCGCCACGAATGATCTGCTGCGGCTGCTGCTGCTGCTGCCACAAAGCAACCGCCAGCTCAAAAGGGGAGGAAATCTGCGACAAAACTTACATCTCTGACGGACATGATGTTGATGTAGTACTCGGTGTCTTGAGGGTGGGGAACGAAGGGCTCGACGAGGAATTGGCGCAGGACACCAGTGACGGTCTCGACCTTCTGCTCCTTACCAGCACGCTCGGCGATCCAGGCGCGAGCCTCGGGCCAGGTCTTGTTGAGGGCCAGGAGACCGCTCTTGCCACGGCGCTTGATCAATTGATCGGGCTTGGCGACGAACTTGACACCGGGCTGGAGAACCCAGGGGTAGGTGACCTCGGCCTGGTTGAGGACATCCTCGACGTTGGCATCCTCGGGGAAGTGCAGAGAGCACAACCTGGGGGGAGGGTTGTGCTTGGTGGGGACGGGAAGAGGAGATGCCTTGATGACGGGAGCGCGGGTGAGGTGGTAGTTGAGGATAGCCTTGCCGTCGGCCTCGAGGATGGACTTGGCGGACATTCTGGCGGTTGTGAGGTGAGAAAGAGGTGAGTTTTCTTGAGAGTTCTTTTCCCTGCTTTATTTTGCCTGGATTGGGAGCGGACTGGTCAGCGATTGCCTTTGGAAAACGAAGTATATTTGTGTGGCTCGGAGGCGGAGTTTGGAGTTCCGCTGCCCGTCAGCCAGCAGCAGACTTTCTTTCAGCTGGCTGAGCTTCTGGTAAGGAGCTTCGTGGGCGGCAAATGTCACCACGGCAAGCAAGCGGAAGGCTCCAGATGTTCGCGCCGAGCTCTGGAAGAGGGGCTATCACGATCCAACTAGAGACTCGGCCGGGATGGGGGAAAGACGAGGCGACAAGATTGAGCTTTGGAAGAGTGTGTGGCTGCAGTGAGAACATACCGAGAGAGAGAGAGAGAGCAAGTGCTACCAGGCGACGAAGTCGAAGTCTGGGGACGAAGTTGTGGTGAAGACCTGAAATCAAGTGAATGTCAGGAATCGGAGGTCGAATCGAAGTCGAGTCGAGTCAAGCAGAGCGGTGTGTGAGGGAAGAAAGAAGCGGCGAGGTTGAAGGAGAAGTATGGATTGGGGAGTGGGAGGAATGGAGTGGAAGGAGAGAAGCTGTGCTGGTGCGTGGAGAGAGAGGGAGAAGATCGTCAGCCTTTCAAAATTTTGGATTCTGTCGAAGCTCCCAGGGATTATTTGTTGCTGGGACTTTGGGGAGAGGAAGAGCAGGAAGAGCGGACGAAGGAGGAGGGGGTGGGTGTGCGTGTGTGTGTGTGTGTGTGTGTGTGTGTGACGGTGGTGTGGTGGGTGGGAGGGGGAGGGGTGAGAAAGTGACGGGAGAGGGACGGGAGGTACATCTTGGGGCAACGAAGCGCGCCCAGGTACCGACCGGGATCGTTTTGGTGGCTTTGAAAATCGGTGGATTTTCACCTTTGCACCTTGAGGGAGCTAAGGGACCACGCCAAAAAGTTTTGGGGTGGTGCGTGTTGTGGTTGTGCGGTGCAGTGAGGTGCATTGGAACCAGACACCTGTGAGAATCTCTCGCAAGCTCCGGGAGTGGGAAAAAAAGAACTGGGGGGAGGGGAAAGTATTTTTGGGGACCGGGTGTATTTTTGAGAGGGGGGTGGGAATTTTGGGGAGCTCCAGCCCAGCTGTCCATGCACGCTACCCCTCGATGGCGGTGGCAGAACACACGACACCTTACAGGGGCACACTCGACATATCCGCAAAAAGCAAGAACGACTGCGAGGGAAAAACGGGTGGGAAAGTGCAAGTGCTAAGGTACTGAACCGGGAGGGAAGGGGCAACGGACAGCACAGGCAAGTACCTGTATCTGTACCTGCCCTATCTGCTCTATACCTTTCCCTCTCCTTCTTCTTGTTGGACTCACCTCGAAATTGGCGACAATCTTGCCGGTTGAATTGCAACAAGGTATGCAATAAAGGGATGGAGGGGTTGAGAAGGAAAATGCTGGCAGGGCAGGGGAATTCGACCAAGATGGAACCTAACGAGAAAAAAAAAGTCTGGGGAGGGGGAATTTGGGAAAGGTGGATGAAAAACAAGAGACAGGCAGTGGTTGTTGAGAGGTTTAAGTGGATCTCATCTCGTACCTTTTGGAAAGTCACTCTGAGGTGCTCACTCACTGACAATATTGCAGGCTCTGAAGACCAAGGAAGACCGAGTGAGAATCTCTAGGAGAGGACGGGAAATGGGCAAAGAGAAACCTAACGAAATGGACGGCAACAATTATCGAGTTTGCCTCCCAGGCGGCGCAAGGGCGGCATTTTTACATACAGCTACACGCACCACACAGTCGTGGCAGTACTCCGTCCACAGCATGGAAGTGTTGGACCACCACCTCTCCCGCCCTTTCCCGGATGATGGATCGATGCAACCCCAGCGCCAGAATGTCCGCCGAAAATCGCAGGGACCGCCATTTTTACATACACCTAGGTGCTGCATTGTTGTGCTCATCAACATCACCTTCACAGATTCCAACATGGTCCATCGACATAGTGCAGGTGCACCACAGCCGAACGGGAAAGGGCGGAAGACAGACTGCTGGCTGCTGGATGGAGCTTGGGGAACGTTGCCGGTGCGGTGCGAAGCGGTACGGCGCATCATCCTCGTCGCTTCGTCGCTTACACCGGCTGTGGTCTTCCAATGCTTCCTTCCAGACGATTCTCCATTCTCGTGGGTTGGGGTTGCCTATCCGTACCTTACCTTACCTTGGGAAATTGGGGGTGGTCTGTTTCTGTTTCTGTCTGTCCCCCGTATCCGATCGAGATCAGGATCAGGCCCCTTGCCCAAAACGAACCGAGAGAAGGAAAGAAAGAAAACAAAAAAAAAAAAAGCCGTTGTTTATCCACCGGCAGCCAGCGGGAGACTGAGAGTCGCGTTTCCAGTACTACCGATTCGGGCGCACTCGAGCGCCGCGGGATGACTATGTGATTTCGGACGTTTCTCATCTCGTGCGTGGGACAACGGACGGTAGCCCGGATGTCAGGTCAGATCCCCCCAAATTCGGTGTCAGTCAAAGTACGGAGACACAAATTGGTCCAGGAACCGGGCATTGGCGCCGTAATTAGCCATGGCGCTGGGATTGGCACCTGGGACGACGACCAAGCACAGTCATCAAATCAACCTCGAGTGGGACGTTGGACTGCCTGGTCAGACGGCACATCGACCCCTACTCGTTCTTCGCTCCTGTTGCCCACCTGCACCTAGCAATGCTTAGGCTCGCTCAGCATGACCTACCTGGCCCTGTCATTTTCGAAAACCAGATCCCCAAGCTACGACAAGGAGCCATTAGCCATGGCCGTTCGTGTTCCCGTACGAGTGTGCGTGGGAAGAAGCCAGAACAGCGGCTATTACTCGCGCATCCGTACGCAGTACACACACTCGGGTATCTCCAAAATGAAGGCGCGCAATGCCCGGTGGTCGGCGGAGTGACAATGGGGAGGACCGAAAACCGGCGGAGGTGGATGCGGCATGCCGGGTTTCGGGGAATGCGAGCATGGGTGCTGAAATGCCCGTTTGGGTCTTTTCCCTCTGTCCTTCTCTGCTTGTCCCAGGCGCGCGAGTCTTTTGAGTGCCTTTTTTTTTTTTTTTTTTTTTCATCTCCGTCGCCGTCGCCGGTCTGTTTCGGCCGTGGTTTCTTCGCGGCGCTTCGCATTTACGACTATCGCCGCCTTGTTCCGTCTGGCATCTGCAATGTCCTTGATTTTTTGCATCTGAATTTTCTCTCAAGCGGGTATCTTGCTGCTGCTTCTCTTCCCTCTTTGGTCGGATAGAGTAAGGTAGTGCATCATCCCAAGTGGCCTTGTACCCGTACATAGCTGGATCTGGATGGATGCACAACATCGTCTCTTCCCCATTTCTCATTCTCACGCACACAAAATCCCACACAGGCTTCGAAATAATACCTCGATTCCCTTGGCTGACAGCAACCACTCTCCGTTCGCATGCAGCGATGGGAAGGAATACGGGCAAGGAGGCGAGGCTGTTTTAGTGACCGCCTCGCCCCCACTCAGACAGGCGAGCCTTCCAGTGCCTCTACCTGACGGTGTAAGCCCTGATGTTGGTTGTGTGGTTGTATACGTAGTATCAACGGTGTCTGGGTAGGCGTGTGCGTGTAAACCAGTCGTGTTCAGATTGATTACAATCCCAGAAGCCATCCCGGCGGCCAAGTTGGCGAATGTTGATCCTCCCTGACAATCCAGTCCGAGGCCATTGGGCGAGACTCAAGGTGCGGTCAAACCAAAGTGCAGGCTGCTGCATTCCCGAATGCCCTGGTGCGTCAAGGTACGATAAGAGAGAGCGAGAGAGAGCTATGGGCGCCTCCCGACAAGAGAGGTATTGTTGGCGGTCAAGCGCCAGTGCCAGCCGAGCCGACTTGGTCTCAACTTGGACTGGTCGGGGCGGGGGGAGCTCCCGGAACTTGGAACATCCAATTGAGAGCAGATAGAGACACAACCGCCATTCGATATTGACACTGACATTGCGGTGACCGGCGGGCGGACACCGCCCGTCTCACTGGACGAGTTCCCTTTGAGGTCAAGTGTCCGTCTGTCGGATGATGGGATCTGGATCTTATCGTTGTGCGCTTGCTCTGTCTGTTCCGTCTGTTTCTGCCTGATGTTTCTGAGAGGTGCGAGTTGCACCAAGATAGGAAGAAGAGAAGGGAAGGCGCCGAAAAAGACTGTGAGAGTCAGGGCTTGTGCAGGTACGCAGACCAGCCCGTCCGCGGATGGAGCTGGTACCGGTACCTGGTCTATCCGCAGTTGCAGCGTCCGTCTGGGCTCAAGCTCAGGTCCAGCCCAGGGCAGTAAGTGCCAGGCAGTTGTGGGACAGGGCAGCTTCCTTTGGGGCACAGAGAGAGAGAGAGCATGAGCATGAGCATTTAGGTGAGGTGAGCTCCAATTTTGGCAAGGTGCTTGGCCACTAGCAGTCTAGCGCCCCCCAGGTACGGCCTTGCTTCCCTGTGCAAGTCTCTTCTTCACCCTGTCCATAGGGTGCAAGTACCTTAGCTCAGATTTCCTACCGGGACCTTTTTTCTGGGACCTTGCGGTACGTAGTCCGTAAGGTAAGGTACCCAGTGAGGTGAGGTTGTGTGGGGTCCGCCAGAAACAAGCGGGGGCCGAGGGTCCTTGCCCGTTTGCCTGGTTGGTGCGTGAGCTATGTGCCTTTGGGCGGTCCCATCGCATCTCCCTTTTTTCGCCTTTTCCCTTCCCTGCCCGCTGGCCAATTCAACACTTCAACAATCCACGGGCCAATCATTTGGCGGTATTGGTCGGGAACTTCCCCAACTCTTTCGGCCGTCGCATGACGGAAGTCTCCATTTTCTCAATTCCCATTCCCCATCACCCCTCCATTCCACGCACCACCACGCACCACGCACCCCTCAAACCCAAGAGAAAAAAAAAGTCTCAGGCTTCTCTCTCAGAGTCCCAATGGCCCGACTTTGGCAGAGTTGTGTGTCACTGCGCCGTCAAGCTGTCCCAAGAAAATCTACCGGGCCCTGTGCGAAGTACCTGACCCGACGCAGTGCCGGCCATACTGATCGCCCGTACCTTGCCTAGGTACTTTACTGGCCGATGTCGAGGACCCCTCCGCAAGGTACCTTAGCTCACCCGTACCTACAATGGAAGTCCACAACCACAGAGTCAACCCATCCGTTGCTTCTGGTTCACCACTTTCTGCCCGCCCGTTCTGTTCCTGCCGCTGCAAAGCATTGTTTGGCATTGTTGGTGACCAGCCATTATTGGGATTGGGATTGGCCCTTTTTTCTTTCTAATCTAGAGCCAAGGTACCTAATCTGGTCTTGTCTCGATAAGGACGTGTACAGACAGATACGGATAGCTTACCTTACCCTACCTTTAGTTGGGTAATGGAAGGTACTCTACGTGGTCGAGTATGCTTGGGCAAGTGCCAAGTATCAGAGGTACCTCTTTCCAAAAGTTGACTTTGACTCGAACGCGGACCTGTCCCTTCCTCTCTTGTTGCTCGTTGCGTTGCTCCCTCGGATACTTGGGACGCAAGCCCGCCAAAACAATCCCTGCTCACCATCACCTCACACAAACGCAAGACGCACCCGCGCACCGCCATGTATGTACTTTGTCCGCACCACGCACCACCACCACGCACTACATACGCACAGCACACCGTTCGTTCGTTCCTCCCACTCCCTTGCCGATTTCCGCTGGAGAGAATCCGACGTACACTAGCAAAAAGCAAAGAAAGGACAGAGAGAACCATGGTCCATGGAAAACAATACTTGGAAAAATACTAATTCCACCTCACCAAAAACTCACACCCTGCTGGTGGCCCGTCTCCGTGCTCCTCAACTACTTACGATACCCGACCTCCGTCCTCCTTCTTCTCCTCCGACCCTCGCTCACTCTCACTCGACTCTCTCTCTCTCGCTTTTCCTCTCCTTCCCTCCTTCTTCTCACCCTCTTGCTGCTCTTGAGAAGCTTCCTTTTCTCTCTCTCTCTCTCTCTTACCCCCACGCCAATCCCTTTTCTCACCAAAGGATCTCTCCTCCGTCAGCTCGACAAAAAAAGAAGCTGGACTTTGCCGTTGTGCGCCGCTGCTTGATCCCATCAATACCTACACCCATACCAGGGTAGACAGACAACAGCATCACCGCCTAGGTCAGTTACCGCTCCCCGAATCCTACCCACCCCGGTCATGTCAATCCTGCCCCTCCGACGCCTCTTTCCCACCTCCGAACGCTTCACACACACCTCATGTCACTTCCACACCCGCTCGCCGCCGCACATCGCATCAGACACGACCAGGACCAAAAAAAAAAGTCTCTCCCACCAAGGAGCTGGGGCTACGCCAGCTACAAAGATCCACTTAATGTCTGGTGGTGTCCCCAGCTGCCGATGAGCATGTAGCCTCGCAGATCCAACGATTTCAGCTTCCCTGAGCGAACTGTCGTCTCTCCGAGTCCCTCCTGAAATCTCACCTTCTCCCCACCATAATTCCGACTCGTTTGTTTTCCACCAAACTTCCTCTTACTACTCATCCTCCTCCTCCTCCTCCACCTTCAACCTTTCCAATCCTTACTTTGGACATCTTTCTCCTTCATCTCTCTCGCGGGCAGACATCCATAGACTTGTTTCTGGCGCCCATTGTCTGTTTCGAACAAGCTTGCTGACCTTGTTACCCCTCGCCAGAATCTTTTTTCTTCTTCCCTTGTTGAGACTCTCATCCTCCCCGACGAAGCTCGACTTTCTTCACAATGCCTTCGGCCACCACCCCCGCTAACGGTGCCAATGGCGCCAAGGCAGCCAGCGGCCTGTCTGCCAACGACAACATCACACGCTTCTCGGCTCCCAGCCGTCCTTTGAGCCCTCTCCCCGAACACGCTCTGTTCAACGACAAGACTAGATGCTTCGTCTACGGTCTGCAGCCCCGCGCCGTCCAGGGTATGCTCGACTTCGACTTCATCTGCAAGCGCAAGACCCCCTCCGTCGCCGGTATCATCTACACTTTCGGTGGTCAGTTCGTCTCCAAGATGTACTGGGGAACCAGCGAGACTCTCCTGCCCGTCTACCAGGAGGTCCCCAAGGCCATTGCCAAGCACCCCGACGTTGACGTTGTCGTCAACTTCGCCTCCTCCCGAAGTGTCTACACCTCCACCATGGAGTTGATGGAGTTCCCCCAGATCAAGACCATTGCCATCATTGCTGAGGGTGTCCCCGAGCGCGTAAGTCGGTCTCTTCCCTCTGGATTCATACCCCGCTAACAAAAATGCAAGCGCGCTCGTGAGATCGCCCACAAGGCTCAGCAGAAGGGCATCACCATCATTGGCCCCGCCACTGTTGGTGGTATCAAGCCTGGCTGCTTCAAGATCGGTAACACTGGTGGCATGATGGACAACATTGTCGCCTCCAAGCTGTACCGCAAGGGTTCCGTTGGTTACGTCTCCAAGTCTGGTGGTATGTCCAACGAGCTCAACAACATTATCGCCAACAACACCGACGGTGTCTACGAGGGTGTGGCCATCGGTGGTGACAGATACCCCGGAACCACCTTCATCGACCACTTGCTCAGATACCAGGCCGACCCCGACTGCAAGATTCTCGTCCTGCTCGGTGAGGTTGGTGGTGTTGAGGAGTACAAGGTCATCAAGGCCGTTGAGGATGGTGTCATTACCAAGCCCATCGTTGCCTGGGCCATTGGTACCTGCGCCAGCATGTTCAAGACTGAGGTTCAGTTCGGTCACGCCGGTGCCTTCGCCAACTCCACCCTGGAGACGGCCAAGACCAAGAACGAGAAGATGAAGGAGGCTGGCTTCTACGTCCCCGAGACCTTCGAGGAGATGCCCCAGGTCCTCAAGGCTCTCTACGACTCCCTCGTCAAGAACGGCACCATCAAGCCCCAGCCTGAGCCCGTCGTTCCCAAGATCCCCATCGATTACTCCTGGGCCCAGGAGCTCGGTCTCATCCGTAAGCCCGCTGCCTTCATCTCCACCATTTCCGATGACCGTGGACAGGAGCTCCTGTACGCAGGCATGCCCATTTCCGATGTTTTCAAGGAAGAGATTGGCATCGGTGGTGTCATGTCCCTTCTGTGGTTCCGCCGCCGCCTTCCCCCCTACGCCTCCAAGTTCCTCGAGATGGTTCTCATGCTTACTGCCGACCACGGCCCTGCCGTGTCCGGTGCCATGAACACCATCATCACCACCCGTGCCGGCAAGGACCTCATCTCCTCCCTTGTCGCTGGTCTCCTGACCATCGGTTCCCGCTTCGGTGGTGCCCTTGACGGTGCCGCCGAGGAGTTCACCAAGGCCTTCGACAAGGGCCTGAGCCCCCGTGAGTTCGTCGACAACATGCGCAAGGCGAACAAGCTCATCCCCGGTATCGGTCACCGTGTCAAGTCCCGCAACAACCCCGATCTCCGTGTCGAGCTTGTCAAGGAGTACGTCAAGGCCAAGTTCCCCACCCACAAGCTTCTCGACTACGCCCTGGCTGTCGAGACCGTCACCACCTCCAAGAAGGACAACCTCATTCTCAACGTCGATGGCTGCATTGCTGTCTGCTTCGTTGACCTGATGCGCAACTGCGGTGCCTTCTCCTCCGAAGAGGCCGAGGACTACCTCAAGATGGGTGTCCTCAACGGTCTGTTCGTTCTCGGCCGTTCCATCGGTCTTATTGCCCACTACCTCGACCAGAAGAGACTCCGCACTGGTCTGTACCGTCACCCGTGGGACGACATTACCTACATCCTTCCTCAGCTCGGCGGCGGCGGCGCACCAGGCGCCGAGGGCAGAGTGGAGGTGCAGATGTAAGGGTTTAACGGTTAGCGGCGGAAGGTTACGGTTTGCCACGGGATGTGGCTATAGAAATGGAGTCTATGATTTTAACGTCATGCGAGGGATGATGGTGTGCTAAATGGCGTCTTGTACGACAAGCTATATACGTGTAGTGCTGCGCAGTCCCCCGGGATATACTAATGGTTTTGCCCGATTACCTTTTGAAGCATTGCTTTCGACGTGCCATGAACAGTGACTACTTACCTGCCTTGTCAACCGCGACGTCGGCTACTTCCGAGACATTAGGGTCGCGCTTGTGCCCCGCTGGCGGCAGCGTCAATCTCTTCAGGGATTGGATGGCGGTTCGACACCAGTTCGGATGGAGCCCTGGGATAAGCTTAAATTGAGCCTGTCGAACTGGTCGGGTCGTCCGGAGCGCACTGGTGACCCGGCCCGGAATGGTGTCGGCTTTTGGGCTGCTCGTGCATGTCTCAAGACTCAAGGAAAGCGGCAGCTTTTGTCGGCAATCATTGTTCCAAATTGCTGATATGGCGTTCGTCCATCGGTATTCTGATTTGAACAAACGATTTGCCGAGTAGACGGCGGGAGCTAGAAAGTACTTGAATACCTGGTTATGTGTCATTGTAGTCGGTAGGCTCTTTAGATCGAGAGCGATTAAATGTGCTCTCGGGAGTTATGTATTCGGCTAGTCCATTGCGAGAGAGAGAGAGAGAGAGAGAAAGGGGGAGGGTTCCTTTGTAAATTCCAGGAGTTGAAGGGATTTGGTGGCCTTTCTATCACGTTGTTGTGGGGGGTTGTATTTCATGGCCGTAGCGAGTGGGCAATGTCTCGCTGTACTGTCTGTCCCCTTGATAATAGGCTTAGTTACTCGTGGAGTCATTGATCATGATAGTTACACTCGCTAGCGCGGTCTAGTTATTGCAATTCTTCCAACATTAGCACGCCGAACTTGCTTCTGCATTCAATCACGAGCTCGAAGATAACTACTTAGATAGGTAGGCACCTGGTCTCGCCAGACACAACGGAGCCCACGAGGAGTCTGAACCTGATATCGAGAACATTGTTGCAAAAGAACTTTTCCCTCAGGTTTTGCCCCGTGGACGCATAGCTTGGACGCAAAGGTTTACGGCTTGTACATGGTTCTACGATTATCCGTCTTCGACCACCCGCAGTGAACCAATACCGCCAGACCCGGTGCCCGGCTGGGCCGTCTTGATGCCATCCACGTATCCGTACTCCGCACCCATTGGTCTTACGAATTGGCCAATAGTGTGCTGTACTCCAATAAGTTCCCTTCACTGCGATTTCAACTCTCTCCAAGGGGATGAATCGCAAGGCGAGGCTAGGCTGAATTAACCGCCAGACCATCAGAGTTCCCGACCATGCTGCCTAGGCCCAATGGTTGCGAGCATAGTGTAGGTGGGTAACTTGGGCAAAATAACTTGGGAAGTTCTGGTCCGCATAGTCCATTCAACGTAGTGTGAACCCCCTGCAAGGCAACTGCAGGCATCTGTCGCCTGAGCGAGCCAGTCTTCACTGCGATTTTAACTCCTCCTAAGGGGTAGAGACAAGACAAAATAAGTGGAGACCACCGGACCTCGTCCTCAAGTAGACCACGCCCTGGCAACTTCCGCCCGTGACTGACGCACGGACCATCGAAATTCCCAACGCCAGCTTAATGATTTTTGGATCCCTCGATCGCATTGCTGGGAAAGCTATCGAGTATCGGGTCGCTTCCCTGAAATCCCACCACATTGCGACGGAAAGACTGCTTTAGCAGAGGCTCAATTGTACGATACGTCCCCTCCTCCAGCAGATTGTTCAAGAACTGCATAAACAGGCGCTAACATCAATACCTCGACAGAAACAAGTGATCACCCATCCCTAATCGAACGAGCAAGGAGCACACGACAACCCACGTCGCAAGCACTCTTCCCTCGACGACGAAGCCAAACCCATACCCACGCGTCTTGTCCTAATCTCAAACAATACACCGCCGCCACGACCACCCGCCCAACATGACCTTCTTCCGCATCACCCTCCACCGCTCCGCCATCGGCCTCCCCAAGAGCACCCGCGGCGTCCTCGAGGCCCTCGGCCTCCGCCGCCGCTCCCAGACCGTCTTCCACCCCGTCAGCCCCCAGTTCGCCGGTATGATTATCAAGGTTAAGGAGCTCGTCAAGGTCCAGGAGGTCGACCGCGCCATGAGCCAGCACGAGATGCGCGACCTGCGCAGGCCAGACCCGGGTTTCTACGTCGAGAAGGCTGTTGCGCGGTAAATGGACTATAGGAAGGGGTGAAGTAAGAGACGGGTTGGGGTTCAGAAGGATTTTCCAAACATAGAGGACGGGAGGCGGAGAGAGGATAGGTGTTCGGGGTTGTCAGAGGAGATAGGTTCCTCGAGCATGACGGGGCTGGAAAGCAACAGCTCGGGCGCGGCAGAGGCCAAAATCGTGTATCATCACCACGGAGAAAAGTGTACAAAATTCTGGCGGACTGTACAACAAACATACGTAGACGAGGATGTCTGCATCAAGTTACTTGGAATCAAATAAAAGTTCACTCAAGACCACTGGTGATTCGGGCTCGTCTCCTTGATTGGCACATGATTCACTTGTCGCGTTGACAACTACCTGCATGATTACTGAAGACTGCAAAGAGACGAGTCAGATGGACCAGCGACCATATTCGTATACTTGCCTCACAAGACACAAGGGTCAAGAAAGGATGCTTTTGCGAATGGAAAACAATGATTACTATCTGTCTCAACTCTCATACCGGTTGAGTATGCCTGATACTAGCAGGTGATACAAAGATGCTGGATGTCCATTTTCCACACCTCCAACTGAACCCCTCACCAAGCCTGCATGACCAGGTGCTAGGATTCCAATAATGCAAAGAAAAAGTCAAGATGAAACGTCAAACTGTCTGCCGTTTAGTCGGCTGACCATTTGACTCAGGATGCAAGATGAGGTCTGGCCGCCTAGAAGCTCCGAGCCTTGTCGATATACTCCTGAGAAGGGGTCTCATATTCGCTGACAAAGTAGTTCTTTGCGTTCTTGCCGAGCCAGACGGTGAGCTTGGAGAGTTCCTCACGCAGACGCGCCACAGATTGCTGGTCCATGTTTGTCTGAGCGACGAGCTCGGGAAGAGACACTGTCTTGAATCAGTACTAAGCCACACTAGGCGTCTCGAATGGACTTACCCATCAGGCGGCACAAGTGTTCAGGTCCATAGGTATCGCAGACAGACTTGTGCTTGTCTTCCTCGCCAGCCTTCTCCCACACCTTGCGAATCTCATGGTACTGGGGTCGCTCAAAGCTATGGAGAGATCAGTAGAGTTCGAGATATCAAGTCCAAGCAGAAAACTGACCGGTACAGTAAGATACGGCTCAAAGACTTCTCAAAGTACTCGCGAAGTCCTGCAACGACTTCTTCGAGAATGTCCATGTTTGCAGAACCATCTTCCCTGTTCGGGCGCTCGTAGTTGAGGTAGTCGCTCAAAATGTCGTCAACGGGGTGAGGGTGAGGAAGCGGGACCAGCTGATTGTTCTTGGTGATGTTCTCCCAGTCGTCAACAAGCATCGCCTTGATGTGATCAGGGATGGGAAGCTTAATGGACGGGCGTGCATGAAATCCATCCTCCTGGTATGTGATATTAGTATTTGTGTCGACTAGTAGGCATGGCGCAACAGAAAACGAAAAAAAAAAAAAGAAAAGAAAAAGCCTCCAGGCCGCTGGGCTGTCGAATTGATAATGGTTTCTCTCGATGGTAGTCCTCCTCAATCCGCACAAGCGGAAGCTTCCCACTGGGGCAAGCATTGCGTTTGTGTAAACTCACAGTCGGAAGTTCTTCCTCGCTCGTTTCCGAAGAGCGAGCAGATGACGACTTCGCCCGGGCAGGCTGTTCTCGCTTGAGAGTCGTGACGCTCGTATCGTAGCGATTGTCATAGTTGGGCTTGCCATCTTTTGTGACATAGGGTCTGGCGCGGGGAGCAGGCGAGAGGGTCAGGTTATCAGCCCTCAGCAAGCGCGGTTCCTTCCAGGCCACCACTTGATCATGCTGAGGTCGCCGACGCAATGGTTCGGCTGGCCGAGATTTGCGAGACGCAAAAGCCATAATGAACGAGATGAGTCTGTAAAGAGCCAGTGTAGCGTTTGACGAGTGGAATGCAGTGGTTCTATGAGAAGCTGGTGTTTGGGGATGGTTCGAGAAAGAAAGGGCGGGAATTCGGTAGAAGATCAGAAACTCTTCATTGTGCTGCGGGAAGGAGCAGTCTGGGATCGCTCCTGCCAGACAGGCGGAACCAGCAGGATGTTTCTGATGCTGGTGTGTTGGGCCACCCACGGCCTACTGCAGCCTACGTCGAACATTATGGCGGAACTCGAGGAGTACCTCCACACTGTTCTCACGCTTTCTCTTGCTTGTGCCGCAGGGCCTCTGCAAAAGCTCTTCGACGACATCCTTGGCATCTTCCGACTCGCCATCTTGAAAGCTTCGTAGATCATGCTGGTTCTCGATGTTGGCATTCGCGGGACGCTCCCCAAGGAATTCTATACTGGAGTCGCTGGTTATGCTGGTCCTATCGTCGTCGTCGTCGCTGCCAACGGTCTCATGGCTAGAAATACTGATCAGGTCGATGATGTCGGCAGGTTCCACGTCGCCATCGGAATCTGAGGCTCGCCCGACTGTCTGATCTTCGTCTCCCTCATCTTCGTTGTCGGCTTGATAGAACTCGTCTTCATTTTCCTCGTACACGGGTGAAGCCCAGCGAACCTTCTTGCGTGGGCGAACAGATGCCTCGTCGTAGCCATCGAAGTCATCTTCACTATACATGTACTTCCGACGTCTGTTGGGTAGGAAAGTGTCATCTTCTTCGCCAGATTCGAGTCGCTGTCGGAAAAGGTTGTTCCGATACTGCCTCTCGCTCAGAGTGTCGTTGTAGTCCCTCAAACCTTCATCTTCCTCAAAGTCGAATCGGTCCACGCCCATCTCCTCTTCATTGACTTCGTCGTCTTCCTCCTCATATTTCAATCGGTTCTGGTTCATCTCCGCCTCCTCTTCGTCATACTCGTCATACTCCTCCCTGAAGTAGTATCGGGGCAGATCAGAGTCAACATTCCCGTCCTCGTCCTCGTCCGAATACATTCGACGCCTTTTGTGATGCTGCTCAAACGCCGCGTCTTCCTCATCGTAGTCTGGCTCCGGTTGACGTCTTTTGCGTTGCTGATAGTGCTGATTTGGGCGACGATTGATCACGTCGGCGTCGCCATACAGATAGTCGTCTGAGGCTGGAGCTGGTGTCTCGTAATCGCCATAGTCGAAGTCACTGGCGCAATCGGTCTTGATCTCGATGTATTGGCCTTGAGATGCTTCAACATCTTGTCGATATTCGTGTTCGTTGGCATCCTCTGCCCGACCAACAGGGTTGTTGTGACGGTAATGGGCAAGTTGACGGGCGTAGTCTAATCGAGACATGAATCCGCGTTGGGGTGGAGAGGCGTAGTTGGGCTGAGCGCCAGAGTACTGCGCAGCCTGCTGCGACAGAACCCAGTCGTACACCCGAGCAAAGCTATCCCAAGCCGGGGAGCTCATCTTGTAGCTTGAGTAGGGTAGTGATGATTGTTGATGAAGTTTGTGATGATGTATCCTGAAATTTTCAAGGCAAGACACGAGACGTTGTGATGGGTATGAATGCGATGAATGGGAGAAAGGAGAGTCTTCTGGGAGAGAATAGGAAATCGAACCGGCGATTTGGAAAGAGAAGAGTGGGATGTGGGAGGAATGTGTGGAATCGGTGGAAGGTGTGGTGTTGAAGAAAGGTTTGACCAGCGAAGACTTGTCGGGGCAGGAAGGTGGAAATTCCTTTTCGGCAAGTGCCTCAATGGACGCTGATTCACACAACGCTCCTTCCTTCGATTAAATGAATACCAGCCGCCCGGCAGTGAAGAGGTCGGGAAGTATTCGGTGACCAGCTTTGCTGATGGCCCCACATTGATGAGGGCATTCACCCCCCTATCGTTTCCTTCCTCCTTCCCGTCTTTCGGACTTTGTTTCAAGCTCACTTCACAATGAGCTTCTACTTGGAGGCCAATATAATGGCACATCGAGAGAAACCAAAAATTGAAACAAACGCAGAACAGAAAGCAAGACACAAAGAAACTCGGTTTTGGCACTCACCTGCTCGAGGTCAAAATCTCTCGCCCGGCGAGGGCCACGGCCAGTGGCAGCGACACCTGCAGTTCGCTCCTCACTACCGCGAGCTGAGTCGGTCCCATTGACACGAAGGTTGCCCTTCTTGGGGGGTTTGGCACTGCTCTTCTGGCGTAGGTCCTTCATCTGGGCGTGCAGCTGGCTGGCAAGCTCCTTATTCTCCTCTGTGAACTTGCGGATGCGATCGATAGAAACCCAGTCGTCCCAAGTGTTCTTCCAGCCCTTGTAGTGAATGCGATACTGGAAGCCTTCGCCACTCTCGGCAGGCTGGATGTCGAGAATCTTGGCCTCATATAGCATCTCACCATGGAAACAGAGAACCTTCTCATCCTTGGAGAAGGGCTGGGGCGGTTGGCGTGCGGGCGCCATGATTGGATAAGGCGGCTGTAGGTTGGCGAATCTACTCAGTAGGCTCCAGCAAAGAATATCGACAGCAGGGTTCTGGCGATAACCTGGATGTCGTTGAAGGGTTGATGCGCCAAAGGGGCAATGAGGTTAAATTCTCGGACAGTGCGCTGAAGATCGAGACACAGTCACTTTCAGAACCAGTTGGCGCAAGTTCGAGGCTACTGGCACAGTACGAATCGTGAGCAGTCGTGACACCTCACTCAATTTGGATGACAGTGTTGATCGAGTCGCTAACACGGTATTCAGCTGGAGGACTGATTAGTTTCTAGGCAAGATTGACAGCGAGTATGAAAGGATATGAGACTAAATCTCACTGCAATTCGTATGTTTGTTTAACAGCAACTTGCCCAGTGTTGCTTTCGTCGTGGGTAGAGCCGTCTTCGTGAGGTGCAAGCGTGATGGATGAGGTGAAGATGGCAAAGTGTGTCGATTCTTCCTACGGAGTGAAACGCGCTGCGGCTCATTAACGCGTCCCGCAAGAACTACCGCGTCTTCCATGCCTGCCCCAAGCCAAGCGCCACCCATCCCGTCTGCCATGTCTACTTACGTTACTGTCTACCCAACTACCTTACCTCACAGACTGACATACTTGACTTTCCATCTAAGCTTACTCTCCCCTACTTTTTGTTAGAGACTACGGATACCTTCTGTCAGAGATCTTATCGTCGAGGGCTGTTGCGACTATAACGGCCACTCGCTGGACTCATTGTCTTCCAAGCAGCTCATCTCACAAGCGCAACCCATCATGGCGCCCACCGAAGCCGCCATCCTGCACAACTACCTGACTGTCCCGGCGCGGCTGCCCTCAGCCATCACGCTCGAAGAATTCACCGAGCTTTTCCCTAAACCGCATCGCGCAAACCCGCAAATCCGCTCCTTGTACCGTGATCTGCAACACCAAAGGAGGGCGCTCGTTGATACGGTCACGGAAAACATTGAGAACGAGGAGAAGAACGGGAGGATCATCAAGCGCGAGATTGCGCGTGCCCAGAAACGTGCGAAAACCGAGGATGCCGATCAGGAGCTTGAGATTGAGAGAGCGGTACGTTCTTGTGATTGTGCTGCATATTATCATTGTAGACCAGAGTCTCTAATACGAAGGTTAAAGCTTTTTGGCGCGGCTGGGGCGCAAGATCCCAAACACACAATTAACTCCATCGTCCCAGAGATGGATACGGCGATAGCGGATCTCGAAGCAGAGATTCAGGAGCTAGAGGCTCAGGAAGCAAAACTCATGGAGTCGGTCAAACAGACAGTCGGCAGCATGAGCGATCTCCGCTACGGACGCCTCGCCAACCCCAAGCTCGGAGAGGACGTCATTCAAGGTCTCAAGAGTGTCCAAGATGCATGCGACGGGAAAAGTTGATCAACTAAAGATTACTAATTTGGCCCTATCTAATCCAAATGACCAAGGATCTCAGTTGCATCATTGCAACGGCCCGCGGATTTGTCTGGATATTCAAACCATGCCAATGTGCCCTCCAGCCTCTCTTCAACTGCCTATCCTAAGCCACTCGTCCCCTTTACCGCGCAACACCACCAGCAGGGGCGGCAGCAGCGGGAGGAGCACCGCCAGCAGCGGCAGCGGCGCGGTTGTCAAAGGTGTTGCCCATACGGCGGTTCATCAGGGTACGGCTGCCAAAGGAGACGAGGATCATGAAGAGCCAGTTGGGGACCAGGTTAAAGGCCCAGAAGACGTAGCCAACGGGGACAGACAGGTTGTTCTTGGCGATCCAGCTGTTGAAGGGGTGGAAAATGTTATCCGTCAGGATCCACTCCTCCTTGGACTGCGCCTTCCATAGGTCGACAATGTCGTCCGAGGTGGTGGTGGTGATGTTCAGGCGCTTCCTGTAGACATCGACGTCGGCTCCAGGGGGCAACAGACCGATGGACCAGATGGAGGCGGTGCCGGCAGACCACGCGTTGCAGAGGACGGGCTGGTCGTCGCAGTTAAGGAGACCCAGGTGAGGGGATTCGGGAAGCTTGGCGAACTTGATGGTAGACTCGTTAAAGGCAGTCTCGATCTTATCGCAGTGGCCTGTAGGTAGAAATTAGCATATCTTCGTACATGGAGCAATGTGACGCGCGGTTTGCGGAGCGTACCGAAGCAGGTCTTGTTACGACCAGTGATCAGAACCCACCACTCCTCAGGGGTAGTGGCATCAGCCTTGACGGGCTCGTAGAGAACATCCTTCCAGTTCTCGACGGTCAAGACGGAGATCTTCTTGTCGACGGCGGTCGCATCAGGCACGGCGGCCTCGGGGGCGGCCGCCTTCTCAGCGCTGGGCGCGGAGGCGCCAAAGGAGCTCAGGAAGTTCTGGAACTGCGCCTTGTACTGCTCAAAGGGCGACTCGGCCGCTGTCGCAAGCAGCGGGAGCGCAAGAAGGGTGGTGGCAGACACGCGCATGTTGATGATGGCTGTGTATGTGTGTGTGATGGGAAAGTCGCTTCGCGTAGAGAGAAAGGAGGTGGTAGCTTGGATGTCGTGATCAAGCGGCCAAGAGATGATGAGTGAGGGGAAGCGTAATTACAACAAGGGACCAAGGAGGGACAATAAGTACGGGTTGGCGAGGGTAAAGTATACAGGCAACCTGATTCCGGCGCGAAGTTTGGACACACGAAAAAAAAGGACACAGAGTCTGGATGCGAGGGAAAAAAGTGGAAGAGGAGTCCAAGTACGGATACCGACACGGGTGCGAAATCAGGCAGTTTGGAGAGGGACCCTTTTGGGACTCGGGGAGAGCGTGTGGCTTCTCCTGAACCTTGTCCCGTTGGTGATCAGGCTGGAACAAAGGAGCTTTGGTCGCCTGGGGGATCCAGAAGAGCACTGAAACCCGCCCGCTGCTAGAAGCTCGGGAGCACACACCATAGAAACGAGAGAGAGGTCCTTCTCCACAAAGCCTAACCGAAATGGGACTGGCGCTTGCTGCTGGTCAGCGTCATTTCGGGTCGCCCAGGTGGAACGGTGGTCCGGGGTACTTGCAGCAGCCACGATTGGGTGTCTCGCGTGCATCAGCCACATGAGGCTTGCGGACCCGGTACGTACTGGCCATTTGGCGGGGACCTCGACGCGTCGAAAGCTCACATGCTGAAGGGCCCTGGAAGCTCGCATGCGCCTTGAGGCAACGTCCACCCTTGCGACATAACATTGTGAGCGCAAAATATCACAATGGTAAGCCCTCCAACTCTGGTTCTTTCTGACTCTAGCTGACACAATAGTAGCCCCCCAAAGCCGCAGACCAGAAGCGAAAACGAGGGCGCCCCTCAAACGCGTCTAAGCCGGTCGACGCGTTGCCAGGTTCTCCCGAAGCTGTAGAGACAGAAGAAGCACCGGCACCAGGGAGACGCGGTCGCCCAAGCAAACGAAAGGATACTGAAGTGTCATCCCCCGCCGAGGAACCGAAAACCAAAAAGAGGGGCAGACCACCCCGCGAGGCAGCGATAGAAGCAGAAGTGGAAGAAGCGAATGAGGAGGAGCCCGAACCGGCGCAAGCGAAACCGAAATCGAAAAGGGCCAACAAGAGCAAATCGAAGGACAACGAGGAAGCGGCAGACGGAAACGGGTCAACAAGCCGACGAGAAAAGGCCGCCTCACGACGTAAACCAGGCCGAAAGCCAAGAAAGGAGGCGAACGAGGAGGCCCAGGACGAAGAAGAGGCCGGCACAAGCGCCAAGAAGAAGCGTGGACGGCAACCAGAAAAGCCTACGGAAGAGGAGGAGCCCGAGGAGGGTGTATCTCCAGAACCGGTCCCCAAGAAGAAGCGTGAGCGACCGTCTCTGGACAAGGAACCAGCGGCCGAAGAACCGTCACAAGCTGCCGAGGAGGACGCTGCGCCCAAAAAACGGGGAAGAAAGCCCAAGGAAAAGGTTTCCGAGGTCGAAGAGCCTGCACCTGAGGAGGAAGCGGAGGCTGAGGCCGCTCCCAAGAAGAAACGCGGACGCAAGGCAAACGTTACAGTAGAAGAGGTGGAGGAACCACCAGCTGAAGAGGACTCGGCGGCCGTAAAAAGGAAACGCGGTCGCCCTTCGGCGCAAGCTGAACCAGAGGCGCAGGAGGTGTCACAGTCAGAGCCGAAAGAAGGCCGGAGGCGCAAGGGGAAGCAGCCCGTACCAGCAGCAGAGACGACAGCCGAGAAGCCGACCAAGAAGCGCCGGAAGAAGGGCGAGGAGGAGGAAGAGGCGTCACCAGATACCCAACGTCGCCGGGCTGGCCGTCCTCGAACTTCAGATGCAGCATCCCCGCAGAACGAAACCTCGCAAGCGCGCAAATCCAAGAAGCGTCCAACGGAAGACGATGCAGTAGAGGCATCAGCACCCGCGAAGAAACGCCGTCGTCGCACGTCTGAAGAAATCCAACAGGAGAAACAAGAACAGCAACAACAGCAACCCAAACCCGAAGCCCCAAAGACGGTCCGAAGGGCCCCCAAACACCGCCACATCGCCGCCCGCGTCCGCCAGGTCCCCCGCTCCGTGATAGAAGAGAAATGGTCCCCGCTCACGAACCCCTCCCTCTCCATCGTCTCCAACCTCCTCCGCCTCGCCGAGCGCCCCGTCCTCCAGCGCATCCCAGGCAGCGAGAAGCGCCGCGACCAGGCCGCTTCCGCCCTTCACCTCATCACGAACCGCCTCGTCAAGAAGCTCTCCCGCGGCCTGCCATTCCCGCCGGCCTCGGCGCCGCCCACGGCAGGCAAGAACGGTAGCAGGAAGCTGCTCGAAACGGATGGCGGACGCGTCGAGGAGCTTAACTTTGAGCGCGTCATCGAGGGCGTCGCGGCGCTCGAGAGGCAGCTCGATCCTCTCCTCCACGCGGTCGACCTCCTCAAGACCGAAAAGGAGCGCGAGGAGAAGGCTCTGGAGGAGGACTACGATACCCTTCGCACCCTCGAGGCGAACGCGCGCTCCGAGGCACGCAATTTCAAGGATAGTCTCCGCAAGACGCACGTCCTTGTGCCGGAGGCCAC